GAGCTGGCTCTCATGCCACACACAGGGGCAGGTGAGGCTGGGAGCTATTCCTAAGTCCTCTTGCCACAGAGCCTTCGAGAATTACTTTAGAAACGACAAGCTGGCATGCCCTTCTGGCAGATATACATTCCAGCAAGACATCTTCTCCCCATCAATAGACCAGACTTTCACTCTGACAGTCTGGAAGAAGGTAATCCTCCTTGGGGATTGTCACAAATGTCAATTGATTGGACAGCTTGTTCACTGGGTAAATGCACTGAGCAGCTGCCACGCACCAGACGTGTTCTGGGCACTCGAGAAAGCAGTGAACAAAGCAGGTGATGAGTTGATATTCTGGTGCCCCAGCAGCTGGCAGTAGTGCTGGGGGCCCTGGTTAGAGTCCAGACAGGAAAGGATGAAGGAAAAATCAGGGAAATGATTATTGCCCAGAGGTTCAGAAAGACACACCCCCACCCCAGACCCAACCAGGTCAGCTGCCTTCCTGCTCTGGGTGACACCAGCGTGCACAGTCGACGGGCAGCATGCACAGCTGCCATATGCCAATCATCCAGTGACCACAGGCAAATCCACCCTGCTGCACCTCAGCTTCTTTATCTATAAGAGAATGAACATAAGACAATCTATCTGCCAGTGCTTTTGGGGTGACTAAGGATGCAGTAAAAAGGGTAAGGTAAAAAACTTCCCATGGTCTTACCAAGGATGCACTCAGAGACAAATTCGTGTCCCTCACACACTTTAACCCCAACACATAGAACAAGCCGCAGCAGAAGCAGATGGGAGAATCCAGCTGCCAGACAAGAGAGAGATTTGCCCCCAAAAGTTATTTTCATTAACTTTCATTAAATACGTTATTTCCTGTTCTGTTCCCCACTCTGTCTCTGGTGAATCCTCTCACCCTCCCACACATCTGGCCTGTACCCCAGTCCTTGTATAAATAAATAAATCTTTAAAAAAAAATACGTTATTTCCATCAACATGGAATAGGCTTATTAAAAATATTTTTAAGTTGTCAGTTTTGTTTTCGATATACACAATATAGAAATAATAATATACAATAAATGTTGATAGATGTAACCTCCATCCACAAAGCTCTTTAGGATCTGGGTCACTTTTCAGATAGGAAAGAGTGCTAAGGTCCCCAGGTTTGGGAACTGCTACTCCAGGCTTCCCTCATGACAGCTCTTTTATGGCCTGACAACAGGGCCTCCCATCCGCCCCCATGTGTGTGGTTAATTGCACAACTTCCAAGCTGAAGGATATGTTCAGACATGATCCACAACCTCCTCCTGCTGCCAGTGCAGCCAGGGGACATCCTGAGAAGGGGGGTTTGGCCTACAGCTGTCCAGCAGCTGCTTCCACCCCAGATGGAACCCAATTCCTGTTTCCATGGTCTCGAGCTCCTGTGATTGCCTGCGGGCAGGTGCTGACTGGTTTGTAAAGCCTGCTTCGTAGTCTCCCAGCCTCCCTGGGACATGCCCCTCTGCTCCTCTAACAATGTCCACCACTCCCTCAACCCCTCACGTCCCTCCTTAACCCCCTGGCCTCCCCAGCCCCAGGACACAGCAGAGATGCCAGCATCAAAGAACCTGGGAAAGTGGGGAGAAAGTTATGTGTTTACACATGATCTCTGACATTATTGATAGATGATAGGTAGGTATGTAGATAGATAGATAGCTAATGTGCATTGTGTGTGTGAGAGAGAGAGAGAAGTATCTGCCATTGATGGTGATGTGGGCTTACTGTGTGGCAGGCACTGTATTAAGCACGATGCCAACTGTAAAGGGCAGGAATGGCCACCGAGCAGGTTTTCTGATCCAGCAGACCCGGTAAAGGAGGAGTCAGAGTCCTCAGTGGTTTTTTGCAGGTCTTTTATTGGGGTTCACCAGGTATATGGCAGGCAGGGGTGCTGGGGGCCGGGAGGCCCCCAGCAAGTCTTCACTCTATCTGGGCTCTCCGGCGTTCTCTGCTTCTCTCTCAGCTTCTGTTACTTCTTTCTCGGCTTCTCTTTCGGCTTCTCTTTCAGCTTCTGCTGCTGCTGGCATCCCCATGACGCCGCCCTTAAAAGCACAGTCTTAGCCCAGATGAATCCCATCTACCTATGCCCACACCCTACTCCAGGTGCCCGCCATCAGGCATGCATTCAGGACCGCAAGGATCCATCATCTATCCTGATGGCGGGAGGGCAGAATAGCCTGACATTTTTCCTTACCCTACACCAACTAATCCTCTCAGTTAACCCCCCTGCCTGACCACCCCTGATGAGACAGGTATACTTTGTCATTCCCAGTTTACAGATGAGGAAAAGGAGTGAATGAAATGAGAAACTTTATTTGAGGGTATAAAGCGAATACCCGGTCAACCCAGGTGTCCATCAGTTGTGTCTGACTCCAAAGCCCAGCAGCCTGATGGGCAAATCCTTGGGGATCTGGGGGTGAGGGGAACAGGACTCCACCAAGCTGGTGGAGCAGGACTAAAGTCTAGCTCTGCTAATGGTAGCAATGGCAGCCTGAGTGAAAAAAAAAAAAAAAAGATCAGAAGAGTTAAAAAGAGAGAGAAAAGAGATGTGCTCTGCTCCCCGAACTATAGGCAAAAGATTTCCCCTGGCAGGTCACAGGACCCCTAGCCCTGGGCAGAATCAGATATAAGACCTGTCCCTTCAACAACCTGACCTGTCATCACACAAAGTCTTAAGTCCTCATTTTGCCACTTGCTGTGGAATTTTGGAAAGGGACTCGGGCTATCTGAACCTGTTTGCTCAAAAAATGCTTGCTGTCTAACAGATAACAGCTCGATCCTTCCACCACTGTGCAAACTGTCAAGAAGGATATGAATTACTAGTTCATTACTAGTCCAGTCTCCAAAAGGGAAGCTGCTAGAGAAGAGGGTAGTAGAAAAGAGGAAGAACATTTTTGAAAAGACTGCACAAAAAATGTCCTCTAGGCAGATTTCAGATTAGTCGGTTAACTTGCCACGTATTTGCTTGGGGGTGGAGAGGGAAGAATGTAAAGCAATAGGATTCGGCTCTGAGATGAATGGACAGGAGCACAGCAGGCTTCTTAACATTGCTGGGAAATTTCCTCGTCTGTAAGAATTTCCTCATCTATAAAATATAGGAAGTAGTAATATCAGCGTTTACGTGGTTGTTTTGAGACTAAAATGAGATAACAGGTAGAAAAAAAGCTCATCGTGTGGTGTGTATACTCCATGGCTCTGTGAATGATCAATCAGAAAGATAAGCTTCTATGTGTAATCTGCACAACAGTGTAATATGGATAGTATTTCTCCCACTTACAGATGAATAAAACAAAGGCTCAGAGAGGTGAAGTAACTTACCCAATATCACACAGCCCATTAGATTTGAAGAGCTGGGCCTCCCCAGTGGCACAGCGGGTTGAGCACAGCGCCGTAAAGCTGTCCGCAGCCTCTGCAGCGCAGGTTAGATTCCCGGCCAGCCAGGGAGATTCCCACATGGCGTGGCAGACCTCTCCTGTCGCGCCCGCTGCTCCCCTCAGCAGTGTTTTCAGTTATCTGCCTGTTCTGCTCCCTGCTCTGTCACTGGTGAATCCTCTCACCCTCCTGCACCTCTGGCCTGTACCCCAGCTCTTGTATAAAAATAAATAAATCTTAAAAAAAAAAAAAAAGATTTGAAGAGCTGGCTTTGAAACCAGGGATCCCATAGGGTGAGTTTCCTAGAAGGGACCTAAGAAATCATCGGGTCAACCCACCTGCTTAAACATGAGAAGAGAAAGACCCAGAAAGGAAAAGGAACTGGCCCAAAGTCACTCAGTAGCAGAACAGAAACTACATCCCACATCTCCCCACTCCCAGGCAGAGATTTAAAAGATGGCCGGTAGCCTCCAACTTCTTACCACAGGTGTAGCAGCAACTGGCCAAGGTAGTGCTCTGACCTCACCTGCAGCCCCAGCTGCCTCCAGCCCCTGGGAAGACTTTAGACGCAGGCGAGCTGTTCTTTCACTTCACACTTTCACAGCGGATCAGAAACACACTCTGTTCCCCCCTCCCCACCTTTTCCTGAGCTGTTTCCCATGCCCTCCAGGTCCCACCCCCAGACACTCAGCACCTTCAGGGCTGGGGCTACAGGCCCAGAGGCCTCTGAGGCAAGGATGTGCTTTTGTGGAGCATGCAGGTTTGTTTGGGGGCTTGGGCACTTTTGTAGGAGGGAAGTATGTCGCTTTGATTCTCACAGCTGTGTAACATCAGGTCACAAAATGTTTTTACATGCATCAGTGTCCTTAGTATCTCATCCTCAACAATTTGGACAATACTTTGGACAAATAACCCTGATGGAAAGTACAAACACATGCCTCCTAGAAAATGCACAGACACCAAGTCTTACATACACTTTGAGAGCCTTGGCCCATTTGCGGATGCCATTAAAAAGTAGTGATGGGGGAACCTCCCCTGGTGGCGCAGCAGTTGAGCGCTGGGCTGCGAAGCCCGCAGCCTCTGCAGCGCCGGTTCGATCCCCGGCCACTGGCGAGGGTCCCACATGGTGCACAGACCTCTCCTGCTGCCCGCTGCTCCCCTCAGCAGTGTCCTCCATCTGTCTGCCTATTCTGCTCCCGCCTCTGGCTCTGGTGAATTCTCTCGCCTTCCTGCACTTCTGATTGTACCCAGTGCTTGTATAAATAAATAAATAAATCTTTAAAAAAAAAAAAAAAGGTGATGATGGAGATGATGGGCCCCAGCTGGTCTCCCCAAGATGAGTGAGTCCCAGTTGGTCTCCCCAAGACAGTCATTGTTGCTATCATTTCACAGATAAGAAAGGGGGCTCAGGAAGTTGAAGGGACTTGCCCAGAGTCACATGACCATCCATGGCAGAGGTGGAACCAGAACTGTTCACCAACTACTGAGTCTCTGTGCGGAGCATTCAGACACGTCCTGGAGAAATGCTCCTTCTAGAAGCCAGATGCTCTGACTCCAGAAGGGATTTCTATCTGCCCAGACAGAGGCAGACAGGGAGCAGGGCTTCCTGTTGCTCCGTGCATCCTGCCATTGTCTGATGCCTGGTTAGGACCTCCATCCAAATGCCTGCATTTCCTGCCCTTGTCTACTTTGGACAATAACCACAGGTCAGTGGCCACTCAGGCCCCGGTGAGAAGACCCCAGCCCCAGCATCCCTCTGCTGCACTCTGCGTGGGGTAAGCCATTCACTGGTGGAAGGGGGCTTTCTAAGGGAAATACAGGATAAGCATCCTTGGAGAGGGTGGGGGACAGTCAGGGCAGTGGGGGAGCAGGGAGGAAATGTCCAGAAGTGACAGGAATGTGAGAGCTGAGAAAGGCTTGCACTCCCAGCCTGGGGCTGTTTTCCCAATGGTAAAATGATGAAGCTGGATTCACAGAGAGGTTTTCAGCCTGTTCCTTGGAGCCAGAGGGTTCTGCGGAGGAGCTTGGGCTGCCATAGAGAGAGGACACAGCTTTCACCCAATTCATGATATGGGGTCCTATTGACTATAAAAAGCATTCTGCTCTCTTAAAAAACTTGAACACTGGATTATAATAAGAGCTGCCATTTATTGAGCTCCTGTGATGCACCACGCATATTGTGCCTAATAACCTCATGGAGTGGATGAATTATCCCCATTTGAGGATGCTCCTAGTAAAAATAAGAGCTTCCATATATTCTGTTAATTTAGCTAAACCCTTCTTAAAAACCCATTTTACAAAGGAGAAATGGATAGCCAAGCCATCTGGTATGAGGAGCAAGCCCATGGGCTGGGATTCGAACCTGCACAGTGTGCTCCTCTCCACCGCACCCTTTTTCCTGGGGTCTGCTCCACTGTAGAAGCCCTTTGCCATCCAGGTGGGTCCCGTTCATTAAGTAGTTTGGAAGCACCCACGATGCAGCAGGCTTTATGCTAAGGCACTGAAGACCCAGAAACCATGAAGGCTGGTCCCTGACCTTGACATCTATGTGACCTCTACCAAGTGGTTTAGTTCTATGAGCCTCCCTGATCTATGAAATAACAATAACCATAATCATAGAGTTGTGTGGATTGCGCTAGCTAATGGCCGTGAAAAACGTTTTGTAGAATTTAACTGCCATGCAAATGTTGGTTAGTGCGGTGGTTAATCTGGGTGGAGAAAAGAATAATGCAGAGCTGGTTACAATAGATGAGGAGTAAGGCTCGGGGTTCCGAGTGACTGAGGATCTGGGAAGGTTTTACTGGCTGAAAGGGGAGTTCAGAACTAAGGTGAAGAAGGAAGGCTCCCTAGAGTAAGGACCCACGGGACAAAGAGGCAAGAAAGCAGATATGTTAGGGGATACGAGGTATCCAGTGGAGCCCCAAGGTTACAGGTTTGGGGGCTGCCTGGTGGATGCTGAGAAGTATGCCCCCCGGTGGCTGCAAACAGGCAGCACAGCATGTAGAGTGAGCCAGTGCCTTCCCATAAAGATAGAACATGAGCCACCTGTCATTTACATTTAAAGTACCCACATTAGGGCCTCCCCGGTGGCCCAGCGGTTGAGCGCTGGGTTGCGAAGCTGCCCGCGGCCTCTGCGGCACCGTTCGATACCCGGCTGCTAGGGTCCCACATGGCGCGCAGACCTCCCCTGCCGCCCGCTGCTCCCCTCAGCAGTGTACTTCTGTCCTTCTGCCTGCTCTGCTCCCTGCTCTGGCTCTGGTGAATTCTCTCACCCTCCTGCGCCTCTGACTGTACCCAGTGCTTGTACAAACAAACAAATAAATTAATAAATAAATAAATCATGCCTCTATTAAAAAACAAAAAACAAAAAAAAAATAAATAAAGTACCCACATTAAAAATAGATATCAATTATATGGTAAAGAACAGAAATTAGATTTTTGGTGACAAACATCTATTAATTTATAAAGGATGAAATCTATATAATGTTATAAACCAATAGCACTTCTATCAAAAAATTAATAAATAAAAAGGAGCTAAATAAATGTTTGTTTAGCCCAACATATCCAAATTATTATGTCAGCATGTAATTAATATAAAAAAATTAATTATTTTTCCAAATTGCCTTTGAAATCCAGTATATGTTTTACACTTACAGCACATCTCAATTCAGACTAACCAGGAATTATTGAAAAGTGTGTTTTTAAAGTTTTATATCTATGAAGTTTATTAGTCATATTTTTCTCAGTTATTAATTTCTAAATAAAGTGCACTGTGGTCCGAGAACATGGTTTGTTTGTTACAGTTTATTTTAAATTTGTTGAAACCTACTTTCCACCTAAGACTTAGCCAATGTCCAATGTTATTTGAAAAAAAATGTGCAGGATGAGCTGCAGTATAAAAATAGGGTGGCAGGGTGAGGTCATTGAAAAGGCAACATTAGAGGCAAGACTTCAAAAAGGTGAGACACTGAACTAAGCATAAATCTGGGGGAAAAGAGTTCAGGCTGAGGGAAGAGTCAGTGCAAAGGCCCTGTGGCAAGAGGGAGCACTCATCTGGAAACCAGTGTGGCCAAAGTTGGTTGACCAAGTGTCAAAGTAAGGAGGTCAGCGAGGTACTGAGGCCACAACACATACGGCCTTCTCAATCATTGCCAGTACTCTGGCTTTTACTCCCACTGGAATGAGGCCTTTGCTAATAGGAAATCTGCTTTTCAATTTAATTCTAATTCTTTTGCAAGTATTATAACTTTTCTCTTTGACTACTTTCATTTTTTTTCTTTTTGTCGTGGGTATCCTGAAGTTTTCTTACAGTGTAGTTTGATTTTTAAATTCTGCTTGGAGTTCACTGTGATGACCCTGAAAAGTTCTGTCCAGTATAATTCTGGACAATTCTCCATTATCAACCCTTTGAATATCAACTCCTTAATACCCACCACCAATTTTATTCTTCCCTTCCGAAATCCCAGTTCGATATATTTTATACATTTTTATTGAACCTTTCATGTCTCTTAATCTCTCATACTTTCCATCTCTTTATCTCCTTGTGATGCATTTTGAGAAATTTCTTCAGATCTACCCCCCAGACCAATGACTTTTCAACTAGTCTATTCTGCTCTTTAACCTAGTAAGGTTTCTTTTTTCAATGACTTTATTTCTCATGTCCAGAAATTCTATTTGTTCTTTTTTGGATCTGCCCAGATAGTCTCTCTTTATATGCTAATGTTTTTGACTCCTCATTGTTTAATCAGATGAAATATATTTTTTATAATATGCATCTGAGAATCATATGAAGTTCTTAAAAGTCTAATTCTGCTCATTCTTGTTCCTGTTTCCCTATGAATCTTATAATTTTGCATTGTGAGCTCAAATTCTGTGGGCCTCTATATGTGGGGATCTTATATGCTTGGATAGAAAACAACACTCAAATGGACCTCCTTGGTGGCACCAGGGGTTAAGTCTTAGCACTATGAAGCTATAGGCAACCACACGGCACCACGAGTTTGATTCCCCACCAGGGAGATGACCCACATGGCATAGCACACCTCTCCCTTCTCGCCCGCTGCTCCCCTCAGCAGTGTATTTCAGTCAATCTGCCTGTTCTGCTCCCCACTCTATCTCTGGTGAATCTTCTCAAACACCCCCACCTCTGGCCTGCACCCCAGTTCTTGTACTCATAAATAAATCTTTTTTTTTTTTTTAAGAAAACAACACTCAAGAGAAAGCTCTAGTTTGCTTTCTAATGTTTTACTATGTCCCATACAATATCTGGGTATCCTGGTATGTTTGGCTGTTTAATTTTTGATATTTAAAGCATAATTATACTTAAAAATGATTCATTATCTGACAATCAAATTTAGTTGGACTCCTACATTTTGTCCCACAATCCTGCCAGTGTGAAGCCAACATCTGGTCTCCTGTCCCTAAATAGTTCAAACTTCAGCATCTTACCAAACCAAACCAAACCAAACACCAATGCAAAAAAAAAAAAAAATTTCCACCTTATCACTCAAGGTCACTCTTTCTCGTGGTTTCGATTTCCTCTTTGTTTTAACCCTTGGAGATTTCCCTTACTTTAAAAGGGAAGTCTTAGGTTAATATTTTTGAAAACAAAAAACCAAAAAGCTTGCAAGCCACTTCTGCTTCTTGAATTCCCACATGCCTCTGCTAAAACAACCAGTTCAGATGAGGCACTCCACTAAAGTGGAGAGAGGGTAAAACATAGTGGAACAAATTATAAATTGCTATTTCAACATACGTTCCATCTGCACAGGTGAGAAGAGTGGCTAGAGTCAGTGAGTGCAGAGGTCACCATCACACTGATTAAAAAGACTTGTTTGTTCTTTCCATTTACTACAGCAAGGCTTCTTCACAGATCCAGCAACAACTGAAGGATCCCTCCCCTCCACACACACACATGGAGAGATGCTGGGGGCTGGAGACAGCCAATGGCTCCAAGGATGGCTTGGATTTCAACCCCATGAAGGATTACATGGTCCTGAGCCATTCCCAGCAGGTAGCTGTGGCGGTGCTGTGCACATCACTGGGCTTGCTAAGCACCCTGGAGAACCTGGCTGTGCTCTACCTGATCCTGTCCTCCCACCGCCTCCGCAGGAAGCCCTCCTACCTGTTCATTGGCAGCTTGGCTGGGGCTGACTTCCTGGCCAGTGTGATCTTTGTTTGCAACTTTGTGAATTTCCATGTCTTCCATGGCGTGGATTCCAAGGCTGTCTTTCTGTTGAAGATTGGGAGCGTGACCATGACCTTCACAGCCTCCGTGGGCAGCCTGTTGCTGACTGCCATCGACCGATTCCTCTGTCTGCGCTACCCGCCTACCTACAAAGCCCTGCTCACCCGAGGGAGGGCGCTGGTGACCCTGGTCATCATGTGGGTCATCTCGGCATTAGTCTCCTACCTGCCCCTCATGGGATGGACTTGCTGTCCAGGCACCTGCTCGGAGCTTTTCCCCCTCATCCCCAACGACTATCTGCTGGGCTGGCTCCTGTTCATCGCCTTCCTCTTCTCTGGCATCATCTACACCTATGCTTATGTCCTCTGGAAGGCCCACCAGCATGTAACCAGCCTGACTGTGCACCAGGACAGGCAGCTGCCAGGAATGGCCCGGATGAGACTGGACGTGAGATTGGCCAAGACCCTGGGGGTGGTGCTGGCTGTGCTCCTCCTGTGCTGGTCCCCAGCCCTGACCCTCATGGTCTACAGTCTGGCCACCACTCTAAGTGACCAGGTCAAGAAGGCCTTTGCCTTCTGCTCCTTGCTGTGCCTTGTCAACTCCATGGTCAACCCCATCATCTACGCCCTGCGGAGTGGGGAGATCCGCTCCTCTGCCCAGCACTGCCTGGCCCGCTGGAAAAAGCACCTGAGGGGCCTGGGGCTTGAAGGACAAGAGGAGATTCCCAAGTCCTCGGTCACTGAGACAGAGGCTGATGTGAAAACCACCCAGTGATCAGATTCCAGAAGTCTCTATTGCCCGGATGGCAGAGGAGGCCTCTTTCCCCATTTTAAACAAGCCAAGTCAGGAATCTTTTCACTCCCTGGAGGAGGGAGCATGGTCTTGATCCTCTCGTCTTACTTCCCTTCTAGGATGGACCTGGGGGGCCTGGACACTTCCCTTCTGGGATGGGCCTCTGGGGGCAGCATGGCCATGCTTGTCTACACACAGTGTCTTGAGTAACCAGGCCTTGTGAGGGGCAGCACGGTGGGCAGGAGGCAGAATGCCGGGAACCAGCTCGGTGCATGCCGAGTCAGGAAGCCTTAGTGCCGGTACCCTCACAGGCCACAGGATCTGGGTGAGCCTTCAGACTCAGCATTGAGGGACTTGGAGGACATTTGATGAGAAGGGTGAATGATTCTTCTGGGATCTCAGGGTACCAGATGAGATGGTCAGCCAGCCCTTGTTTCTGTTTCATTGTTGGCATCTCCTTAATTCTGAAGCTATGAGAAATCCCACCTTCAGGTTGCCCTCCCTCTAAGGACCCAAAACTGTGAAGTGATGAGAATTGAGGTAACTGACAAGCCTCTAATTCAGGGCAGTAGCCCACCCACCACCCTGATAATCCCCACTCACAGCTACTGTGATCAATGAGGTGTCCAGGGAAACCAGACAGCTGGGATCACTTGAGACATGGAATCTTCAGAGAATGGTATTGACCTTGTGAAATCCTGTTTGTATTTATCAGGGTCCCAGTCTAAGCCAACTACAAGAAAAAGGGACATATTCACCAAGATTGTATAAATCCCCAAATTATTCCCAGTCATCCCTCAATTTGGCCCCTCATCTCCTCCACAGTCCTATAACAAATAAAAAGCAGAGCAGGGCCTCCCCTGGTGGCGCAGCGGTTGAGCGCTGGGCTGAGAGACTGCCCGCAGCCTCTGCAGGCCGGTTCATTCCCTGGCCGCCAGTGAGGGGCCCACAAAAAAAAAAAAAAAAAAAAAAGCAGAGCAAGTGGGAGAATGGGGAAATTGCCTGGCTATTTGCCAGGCACAGGCACAGGGCTGACACCCCATGGTCTCTTAACTCCTGCAAGAACACAGCCCTATGCATTTGAAGATCCCAGGATTGGGAAACAGGGAGGCTGGTCCTACCAGTAGGCAAGAGAAAGTGTTGGCACCAGGGAGTATTGTGGACAAATATAAATGTAATCATTTGGGACCACAGATGTAATAAAAGGAAAGATACTAAACATGTCTTCACTTAAGATTTTCAAGACAAGATGCCGCTGATTATTCTCTCATCCACCCATCTCACAAAGATGCCTGCCTCTGTGCCAGCAATCAGATGTTATAGAAATTTAAACTACCCTCAAGGATGCAGAATTTGACTACACCAGCTCAAGAGGTTAGCGGTTAAGCGGGCAGGCCTTGGAGCCTCTATGCCAGGTCCAGGCTCTCTATCCATAAGTCAGATACTGCTCCTGTCTAATGGAGTTTACTTTTCATATTCTGGTGGGGAAAGAGCCAATAAATACATAAATAATGACAGATGGGACACTGAAGGAAGTCATCAGGGTCCTGTGACAGGGATTCATTGAAACAACTTTAAGCAGAGTTGACCTCCTGTGTGCTCTGGGCCTAAATACTGGCTGACATTTATTGAGTCTTTACTACGGACCATGCACTAGTGCTTTCAAACGTCATATTTCACTTCATCTTCATAATAACCTCTAAGAGGAAAAATGACTAGCTTGAGGTCACACTGCTAATATCTACCAAAGGTTTCCGACCCAGTTCTTTTGGCTCCAAGGACAGCCCGCTTAACCAATAACCTCTTGAACTAGTATAGTCAAATTCTGCGTCCTTGAGGGTAGTTTAAATTTCTGTAACACCTGATTACTGCAATCGTTAACTCATTAATGGTTCTCAGTGTATTTCATTTTATACCTCCATATTAATTTCCTGCAACAAATTTCCAGAGTGACTTAAAACAAGAGAATTTATTCCTTCACTATTCTGGAAATAGGAAATCCAAAATCAGAGACTTTGTGGGGCCATGTTCCCTCCAAAGTTTCAAGGGGAGGATCCCTCTTCCTCTTCTAACTTCTGGTGGCTCCTGGTGATGTCCCTTACTTTGTGGCAACATAACTCCAAATTTTGTTCTTCCTGGGGACACATTTTAGATTTTCACCTGAATCTGTGTTCCCTGAATTGCAATTCTTTGATCCCCTCCCCAAAAAAGTGCTTTGCCTTTTTAAATGATCTCCAACATTTTTATGTTAACAATTCCTTGAAGAAATAATTACTGAGTATCTATTTATGCCAGGCACTTGGGCATTTTCTCTGCTAAAATGAGAAAAGACCCTACCAATGAGTAAAAAAAAAGCATACCCCAACTTTCGGGACCAACAATATGTAACCATGCAAATTTACCTTTAAAAAACCAAGCCATTTCTTTGCTTTACAAAAAAATAAGGTGAACCTTAAAATTGCCCGCCCCCCAATCTTCATTTCTATTTGGAACCTTTGATATGAACTTATTTGGAAATAGTCCTTGCAGATATAATTTGTTAAATTAAAATAAGTTCATATTGCATCAAAGTGTGCCTTAATCTAATGATGGGTGCCCTTAAAAGGAGATGCCAAGAGGCCAGCGGGGCCGGGAAAAGCCATGTGAAGACAGAGGAGAGTTTATGAAGGGGGAGAGCGAGGAGGGAGAGGGCCTCTTGGTATCACTGAGAACTGCTGTTGTTGGTTAGCTGGGGAAATGAGCCCAGACTCACGGAGGAGACCCAACAAGGTGGTGTCAGTTCAGGAATCCCAGGTTTCTAGCTTCTGGTTTTGTCCACTTACTGCACTGCCTCCCACCTGCCCCCCACCTGCCCCTGCAGATTTACACTTTAGCTGAGGATAAGACTAGGTGATGGTCATAGTACTCTATCTTCCCCAAGTTTTGTAACATCAAAGACCACTACTCACTTGATCACTAGAATATGTGTGCAGATGAATTGCCTTTTTTTTTTAAAGGTGTTAGTACTTACTGTTTTAGACAACATTTCAATAAAATTTTGCAAGGAAAGAAACACAGAAGACAAAGAAAATGCCTGTTTATTTGGCAATCGCCTTTATGGCTCCTAGAATGAGGAAGTGACGTTCAGTCAACACAGGCTCTGCTTGTCCCTCCCCAGTGCAAGAGAGATAGATTCTGCCTCTGGAAACTTGGGTTCCAAACCCACCTTTGACCCAAACCACACCTTGCCCAAACCTTGGGCAACTCCTGTACCCTCTTTGGTTCTCAGTTTCCTGCTTCATCAAAGGGGAACACCACAGAAGGAGATGGTGCTAAGGTATCCAAAGTCCCTTTCAACTCTGACATGCAGTTCTCACTGACAGGTGGGGACTGGCTATGCCTCCTGGGCTCCTCAGACTTCCCACACCTGAGGGTTTCACCTCTTGTTAGAGGATTTACTGACTTTCCTGTCAAACAAGGTTAACACAGGTGTTCCTTGAGACTGGGGCTCTCAATTCCGGCCCTGCTACTCTAAAATTCCTTTGTGCTGGCCTGTGTGTGGGTCTTGTTTTTCCAATCAGATTAACAATCTTGTTTTTCCAATCAGATTAAGCTCTTGGAAATACCTCAGAATTTCCAAAGCAGGGCCTCCCTGGTGGCGCAAGGAGTTAAGACACAACCTATGAAGCTATCCCAGCAGCAGGAGCTCGATCCCGGCCTGCCTACCCACATGGCGTAGCAGACCTCTCCTGTCTCCCCAGCTGCTCCCCTCAGCAGTGTATTTCGGTCAGTCTGCCTGTTCTGTTCCCAGCTCTGTCTCTGGTGAATCCTCTCACCCCCCCCACACACACCTCTGGCCTGTACCCCAGCTCTTGAATGCATAGATCAATAAATCTTTAATAGCAACAACAAAAATTTCCAAAGCAAGTTCAATAAATAATAGACAAAATAGTCACACGGGCTCTTCCTCTTTCAGCATCCACTCTGCTCCGTCCTCTTAATGCTGGGGAGGTGGGGAGAATGCTTCCTCCCCACCATCATTTTTCTACGCCCCCCACCCCCCTTTATTTCCACCAAGGCTGTTGCAACACCCTTTCACCTGGTGGTCTTCCTCTAGGCTTTCTCTGCTATACTATATTTCAAAGTCCCCTGTGACTCATAACGGCAAAATAAACTACTGCAAGTTCTCGCACTCAAAGGACCTTCCCCACCTTCAGGATTGAACTGGGTAAAAAAAAAAAGCCCTTTGTAAACGTTTCGTTCCTCCATCCACAGAGCGGGTCAACATCTCCCTGCGTCTTCCCCCTTCGAGCGCCAGAGGGCGCCGCAGGGCCGGCTGACCTGGAGGCGAGGCGACTCCGTCGCCTGAGAGGACCCACCCCCTTTTCCTTCCGAGCCAATCATTAGCCCCAGTGGGCGGGGCCTCACCCCGCCCCCGCACCTGCGCGTTAAAAGGGGGCGGCGGCCTGGGGCCGGGGTTGAGGCCTGAGGCGATGGGCGCGCCGCGGCGACGGCTGCTGCTGCTGGCGCTGGCGGCCCTGTGGGCCGCGGCGGCGCTCGCGCGGCGGCCGGGCCCTCGGCGCCGCTACACCCCGGACTGGCGGAGCCTGGACGCCCGGCCGCTGCCGGCCTGGTTCGACGAGGCCAAGTTCGGGGTGTTCGTGCACTGGGGCGTGTTCTCCGTGCCGGCCTGGGGCAGCGAGTGGTTCTGGTGGCACTGGAAGGGCGAGGCGTCGCCGCAGTACGAGCGGTTCGTGAGCGACAACTACCCGCCCGGCTTCAGCTACGCCGACTTCGGGCCGCAGTTCTCGGCGCGCTTCTTCGACGCCGACCACTGGGCCGACCTCTTCCAGGCCGCCGGCGCCCGGTGAGTGCGCGCGGGGCGGCGCGCGGCGGCGGCCGGGGGGGGCGGGGGCCGGAGTGGGGCGGCCGGGGGGCCGGAGGGGGGCCGGAGCCGGGGGCGAGGGGGGCGGAGTGGGGCGGCCGGGGGGGGCCGGAGTGGGGCGGCCGGAGGGGCGGCCGGGGGGCGGGGCCGGAGCGGGGCGAGGGGGCCGGCGGCCGGGGGGGCCGGAGCGGGGCCGGAGCGGGCGGCGGGGTCGAGGGGGCCGGAGTGGGGCGGAGGGCGGCGGGGGGGGAGGGGGCGGAGCGGGGCGGCCGCGGAGGGGCCGGAGCGGGGCGGCCGGAGCGGGGCGGCCGCTGCCGCGGGCGAGACCGGCCGGGCATCACGCTCCGCTGCCTGAAGAGGCGAGCAGGTGGCTCGTGGGGGCGCAGAGGGGCGCCCGCCGGGCACCGGGAGGAGGTCAGGCCTCGGGAAGTGGCGCGCGGAGGAGCCCTCAGCGTCCCCGCGCTGTGTCTGCACCTTACACGCGGCCTGGAGAGGACCGAGCTGGGGGACACCGCCCGGCCCTTCCAGGTAGGCAAGACAGGTGCCCTCCAGGTGAGGAGTCCGGGATTTCCAGCCAGCTTTATGCTCTGGCCGTAGTTCCGTGAACTTGAGCCAGGCCCTTGGCCTCCCTGCAGCCTCCTGCCGCGGTTACAGAAAGGAATTGTTTTCTTAAGCTTTAGTATCGCTCAGAGGGAAGGGAGAGAAAGATGCCGCGTCGTGGGCCTCCGTCATCCGCCCTCCGTGCCTTGCACAAAGTGCCCAAGTGGTCAGGTGTGTTGACAGTTGGAGCCTGCCTGCGTGTGGACGGTTCAGAAAACGGAAAAGCAGGGCTGGGGGTGGGGGGGATGGAGAGAGACTGGGAGGACCCCTGAGGCTTTTGGAGTTTGGGACCAGTCCTGAAGGAGTAATCCCCGGGAAAGGCATTTGCCAGGTGTTGAGACAGGTCTGTGGGCTGGAGGAGAGTGAGAATGGAGGCGGGGAGATTTCCCAGCTCCCGGCTTAAAGCAGTTTTTCCACCCTTGCCTGTCTTCTTAGTGGTCTGCTAGGTTTTAAGTTCTCTTGTGCCAAAGAGAAATACACTTGACATATAGTGTTTGCCATTAAATATATAGGAACATGAAGAGTGTAGGTGTCTCTGTCTTCTAGGAGCCTTAGAGAGCCATAATTTATAAATGAAAAAAATTAAAATCTAGGTGACATCTTTTGTTCAGCCCCCTTGTTTTGTCCTTTGTCCTTTGTCCTGCCCCTGGTTTTATGGACAGGATGATGACTGGGAGGAATCTAATGCCCGAGGACCCAATCTCATGACTCCCATGCTGAGAGTTTGTTTCAGCACACCAGGGCCTGCAAACCATGGCCAGAGGGCCTGGTTGCCTGTCTGTTTCTTCTGTAAGCTTCATGAGATGAAAATGATTTTTACAATTTTAAAGGGTTGTTTTAAAAAAAAAGAAGAAGAAGAAGAAGAATCTGCCACAAAGGGGACCGTGGCCCACAAAGCATGAAGTACTATCTGGCTCTTAGTCTCAGAGTTCCCCATACCAGCTTGACTTAAATTGTTGCATTGCCAGACAATGTCGATTTTTCTGCCCCAAAAGTAAATGAAATGTTGAGTGATTTGGTTATTTCAACACTTGCCTTTTCTCCCGCAATTCTTTGGGTCTTGTTTTACCTCTGTGAATGAGAGGCAAGGACTTGGACTTGGTAAAACAGTTTACTTTTCTATCTTCTGCTATTTCAAGCAGAGATTTCTTTCTCCTTTAGGGCAAAGGGTTAAAAAGAAAAAACTAATTATTAATACCCAGAAGAGTTGAAAGACAGGATTCTTTTCCCTGGCCCGTTCCTTCCTTCCCTCTGGGACTCCTCCTCAGCAGGGAAATCTAGACTGTGGCTTCCTCAAGTTTGCTTTCCTAGAGCAGTACCCAAGGGGAACTGTCTGCAGCAGCTCCCTGGGTGTCACTAATACAGTCTCGTGTTTAAGAGTACCTCCTGTTGTCGAGTGCTCCCAGCCATTTAAAAAGTCTCTGGCATGCTGGGTAAAGTCATGTTCATGGCCCAAAGCCCACTTCTTTGCTTACATGGTTTTGATGTCCACAGGTATGTTGTCCTGACAACAAAGCATCACGAAGGCTTCACGAACTGGCCAAGTCCCGTGTCTTGGAACTGGAACTCTATGGACCTGGGACCCCATCGTGACTTGGTTGGTGAATTGGGAGCCGCCATCCGGAAGAGGTGCGTGTCTACTCATCCCTTCTCCACTCGTGTGTCTTTTCTAAGCTTGCATTTAGTGAGTTACCCAAAGGGCTTCTGAAGCCTTTGAATTAGCAATGTTTGGTGCTTGGTAGTTTTCATGTGATGAGAGGTGACACCATCAGAGAAGTTCATGACCTTATCTCGTTCTCGTTAGGAAGGATCTCCAGGCTAGACCACAGCATCCCATTTGCATTATCAAAAGCATGGTAAACCAAATCATTGTTGGTAAACCAAATCTAAGTTTCACTTAGATATAAAATGCTACAATTGAGTTTTTCTCAAAATAAATTATTTTCCTCTTGCTGTCCTATTTTTCTGTCTAAGGCACATACGCTATGGACTCTATCACTCACTCCTGGAATGGTTTCATCCACTCTACCTACTTGATAAGAAGAATAACTGCAAAACTCAGCATTTTGTCAGTGCAAAAACAATGCCAGAGCTATATGACCTTGTTAACAGGTAAAAGGTTTTGAACTTGTGATATTTACCACACAAATCAGAGCTTCCTGTGGATACTGTGAACTTGGGGGATTATGATGAAAATCTCGAAAATATTAAAATAGAGGGAAGGTTGTGTTAAGACACAATATATTTTTTTCTCCCATTTTTCAAAACTTCCATAATGTGCTCATATTGCTTTGATAAATTAAAACAATCAAACAAAACCAAGGATGAGAGTAAGTCAAAATTTCATTTCCTTTGCATGATATTTTCTTTGTCAGGACCTTGGAGAGGGGTAATGAGGCCTAAGGGACCCTGCAAAGAATTTGGCATTGGCAGATCTGCCTGCATTTGAGCTCAGGCTCTTTGTTACTTACAAGCCTTCGGCAGATCACCCTTCTGAGCCTCAGATTCTCTCTTTGTGAAGCAGGAATAACAGTGGCTTATATACCACATTCAGAATAATGTGTGAAAAATATCACAATACCTGGTACAAAATAAGTTATCACTGTCATGCTTAAAATGATTGCTTTCATTTTGGATTTGTCACCATATTTTATTCCTAGTTCGCCCGTCTTTCTGCAGGCTCATAGAAAATGATGGACCTTTAAAGCTTAAGAGGCTTTACCTGGACTCTCAGTTTAGATTTTAAAAAAAAAAAAATTGTATCCAGATGACCTTTGTAAGGAAATAATACAGTTGTAAGAAACCAGCAGAGCTCAGAGTCAGACGGAACTGGATCTAAAATCCAGTGTTGTTTTGTTTTCTTACTTTGTGGCCCTCAACAAACCATGTAATCTTTCTAGATCGCAATGTCTTTTTCTGCAATATGGGTATAATATACATTATAGGGTCATTGTAAGAAATAATGAGATAGTGAGTGTGAAGTGCCTGGTGTGATTTAGGCCCACCCAAAACAGACTCTGCTCTCTGTCATGTAGATGGGCAGTGTTTTCCCTGGACGCAGTGCAGGATTTGGCGTCAGGAGTATCTGCATTTGAGTTCTACCTCCTCTTACCAGCTTTGTTACCTGACACAGTTACCCTGCTGAGCCTTCCAAAATGGGGGTGATACTGATTACCCTATAGATATATACATGCACACTCTCACCTTATAGGGCTCAGACTAACAAGATGTAAATGGTGCAGCTGTGGCTCAAGTGGACTCAATAGATGCTTTACAGTTAAAGCTTTGGGTAGTCATCCCCCAAAGTGCATTTGGTAGAATAGTTCAAGTGCTCAGTACATCCTCAACTTGGAAACCTTAATCCTATAGGGCACCACTTTTTTCATGTAATTAGTTGCTGGAAGGAAACTAATTTGTGTATGTGTGTACGTATGTGTGTGTGTGTATATATATGCACACACACTAATATATACACATACACATATATATGCACTTTGTGTATATATACACAAACAGATTGGTTTCCTTCCAGCAGCTAACTACATGAAATATATATATATATATATATATATATATATATTACAGCTCTACTTTTTTATAAGACATAAGTAAAGGGTTAGGAGCAAATATACCAAAATACTGCATATAGAACAGTGGTTATGTTAGCAAAGGGTTGTATTTTTTGGGGTTTTTTTTGGGTTTTTATTTGGTTTTTTGGGACCCTCGCCGGCGGCCAGGGATCGAACTGGCACTGCAGAAGCTGCGGGCAGCCTCGCAACCCAGCACTCAACCGTTGCGCCACCAGGGGAGGCCCACAAAGAGTTGTTTTTTGACGGGGAGGGAGGAGGCGTTATTTTTGCCTTTTTAGTTTTCCACATTCTTTGCTCTGTGATGTTATGGTGCTCTCAAAATGGGAGAAAACTAATTTTTAAATATTTCTTGCAAAAATATATCTGTAAGACTTGACTTTGCGTGAACTCCGATGCGCTCACTGCTGATGGTGTGCCTTTCAGGTACAAACCTGACTTGATTTGGTCTGATGGAGAGTGGGAGTGTCCAGATTCTTATTGGAACTCTACTGAGTTTCTTTCTTGGCTCTACAATGATAGTCCAGTAAAGGTATGTAACCCTGTGACTTATCTCTTATTTATGTTATGACAAATGAAAGCCAAGATCTTGTGTAATGGCAATAACAGCAGCAGTTGTTAATAGTAATATCAGCATGGGGTTAGTAGGAACCAGGGGTGTCACGGATGTAAATGTTGCTTTTATAATTCTTTTCTCTCATTTCTTTGAATGTGTGCTTGCTTTTTCTTCTTCAATTCCTGATTTTGTCAAATAGGCTTAAACTGAAGCAGTAGAATAGAAATAGTATGTTGATGACCCAGACTGCCATAGAGAAAATAAACTAGTAAGCAGACAAGCATTATGCATGAGAAAACCATCCCAAAAATTAATACATAAAACATATACAATTAAATGGTAGGAATAAAAGACAGATATCTATGACCTCACCTATGTTGATTGTGTACTCTATGTTGATTGTGTAATTTAACACTCAATGGGAAATTTTAATTCCCTTACAGCCAAATTCTTGGCCTTGTTCCTTCTCCCCAGAATCCACACCATTACACTTCAGGTGGCTGCCCATTTACAGTTTGTATTTGATACACTCACATATGAGCCTCATAGTAATATTAAACATTTATTTTAACATGTTCCATGTAATGATTTCTCATAGGTTCGCCAAATGTTGGAGGGAGGAAAAGAATATCTGATTGTTGACTTTTCTTTACCTAGACAAAGAAAGTCAGAATTGTGTTGTAGAAGGTTTTGGACTGGTTCAAATACCTGATTCATATTTCCAGCTTTCCAAACTCTGTAACCTCAAAAAAGTCTTCTCTACATTTCTCCTCTAACAGAAGAAATTATTTACTAAAGGGTCTTTCAGATAGGGTCCCCCAGCTCTGATTCCACCCGAATCTCCACTAGACCAGGGTTTTTCAGCCTGGGCCCTAGTGACTCTGCTGGGGGGGGGGGGGGGGGGCCTGTCCTGTCTATTCTAAGATATTTAACTGCGTCATCTATCCACTAGATGGCAGTAGCACCACCCCAGTTGTGAAAACTGAAACTGTCTTCAGCCTTGATCAAATCCTCCTCCAATACAAAAGGGCGCCTAGAACTCCCGCTCTAGGTTAAACCTACTCCATGCTTCCAGGGAGACTCAAATTGATCATACAGCACTAGGTAAGGAAGCTGAGTGGATTGACACCTGACGACCCTGTGCTCTTGGCATCTTTAGGACGAGGTAGTAGTGAATGACCGATGGGGCCAGAACTGTTCCTGCCACCACGGAGGATACTACAACTGTCAAGACAAATTCAAGCCGCAGACCTTGCCGGATCACAAGTGGGAGATGTGCACCAGCATAGACAAGCTGTCCTGGGGCTACCGTCGCAACATGGTGATATCCAACATTGCCAGTGACGTGGAGATCATTTCAGTAAGATGCCTGGGAGTTGGTTATTTGTAGCTACTTTCTGAAGCTAGCCTTGTCACAGAAAGTGGTAGCAGTACCCTAGATGTGAGTGCAGGTCAGAGCCATTAAGGCTCTTGCCCATTCTCATGGAAACCCGTCCTGAGGAGATAATTATAATTAGAGAAGAAAGCTCTGTGGACAGAGGTGTTCTTCTCAGGCCCGTTTTCAGTTGGACATAGAGGTGGTTTCAATTTTTTTTTTACCACCATAAAGGGATAAGTAAGTAGATTGAGGAATTTTCCTTAGCTATTAAAATATTCATGAATATGCTATAGGTTAATGCTTAGAGAGCTAAGTTAAAAAAAAAATCTACATATTCTGGCAACTATATAAAATTAACAGTAGAGGAGCAAGACTGAGAGGAAACATCAAAAGTTAGCTTGGGGTGGCTTTAGGTGACTATAGGAAACAAAGGAATTCTCCTTTTTAAAATGTTCTGTGTGACCTTAATTTTTCTGGACTGCCTTGCCATGCACCGGCATGAGACACAGTAAGCACACCTCCTGCTCCAAAGCCTTGGAGATACATCTATTTGCAGGATGCTTTCCATTTCTGGCATATGTGTTTATATAATCCATCACGTACTGAGTATTATCCAAGACCCTTCAGCTCTCTTCTATCTCCCCAAGTCTCCACAGCAGATCCACACCTCCCCTCTATGACCCCAGTGTTCACTGTGATGGCGAATAGCCCTGTGCCTTGTGCTCAGCTTCCTGCCCATACCTGGTACCTCTGGCATGTGACCCAGCCCACTACCGCGGACTCCATGGAGACCCAGCTTCACAGGGAAGTGCCCTGGTGGCTCCCTGGAATACACATTAACTGATTTCTCCATCTTATAGCAGATTTCTCAGTTTTCTCATGTAAGCCTGTCCTGCTTTTATAATGGCAAAAGTATGTAATATTTCTAAAAGGATAGAGGCTATTCACAAAGCAGGGAGAGGATGTACCCTAGATTTTTCTCCTTAATATCTATTCATTCCTGATACTCATAGCAGGATTTCATGATTCTGTCCCCTCCAGGAACTGGTCCAGACAGTCAGTTTGGGAGGCAACTATCTTCTCAACATTGGACCAACTAAAGATGGACTGATTGTTCCTATCTTCCAAGAAAGGCTTCTTGCCGTCGGGAAGTGGTTGAACATCAATGGGGAGGCCATCTATGCCTCTAAACCGTGGCGGGTGCAGTTAGAGAAGAACACGACAACTGTCTGGTGAGTCTATAGGGTGGGGCTGGGGCCCTTCTGAACTGGTGTCTCCTTGGAGCCCCGGTGTTATCAGCCAAGCTGCAAGTCACCTCAAGGTAATCCTAAAGCTATTCTTTTGCCATTACATTTATATTCCAGTTTATATCTGAGGCCAACAGGACATCTTTGACTAGAAAGACTGGTAGTAGGCTTGGTGAAAAAAGCTACAAAGCATCAGTCAGTGACATTGTTACCCTGCTCCTAAAATCAGTAATAGTTCATACTTGAATGGCACCCACAGTATGTCAAGCTCCACTCTAAATCCTGGCCACTCACTGAATCCCTCAACAATCAAAGTAAATCGCCATGTTACAAGTGAGAAAGGGGCCCAGGGCAGCGATCTAACTTGCCTAGGATGACTAATCTAGTAAGTGAAGAAGTTGTGATTCTTACTTGGAATTTTGGATCTAGTTATTTGATCCGGGACTTCGTTTTTTCAACTGCAAACTAGGGTGATGATACTGAGCTTATTAGAGTTGTTGTGAGGGTTAAATGAGACAACATCAAGCACCGTGCAGAGTGCCAGGGTCACACTAAGTGTTCAGAAAAGGCATCTGCCAGCATTACACCACAGGTCAAGGGAAACAGGCCATCCACTATTCTGGGTGAGTTTCTGCTTAGTGCTTTTTATCCTCTACATGTGGTGAACTCTCACAAACAAATACGCCTTCATGGCATCTTACCCTTGTACCCTCAGCTGTTACCACATGGATTTGTAGTTGAAAAAAGATTTGAATAAGGCAAATGGCTTCAGTGTGAAAATAACTAGTGTAAGAGTTAAATTTTTTTTAAACTTGCAACCCAATAGAGAGGGAAAGTGAAGATACCACCAGAAAGAACCTCACAGGACGACTTTCATCCAGCAAACATTAGTTAGTTTGACTTGGCAGTGCTCCCAAGTAGCATCCAGACTCCAGGTCTCAGAATTGGCCACTGAAAGGGACATGCATAAGGTTATGTATCAGGGAATCTTTGAAAGGTGTTCTTTTTCCAGGTATACCTCAAAAGAATCTGTTGTTTATGCCATTTTCCTCCACTGGCCAGAAAATGGAATCTTAAGACTTGAGACCCCCAAAACTACCTCAACTACGCAGGTAAGGAGCCTCCATCTGTCCTTTCTGAAATGCGCCTTTTCCTAAGGAAATTGGCAGGTGTTCTCTATTTCCCTTACTTCCCCGGTTTCCCTTTTTTTTTAATATATATAAGATTTATTTATTTATGCATACAAGAGCTGGGGTTCAGGCCAGAGGTGTGGGGGCTGAGAGGATTCAACAGAGACAGAGTGGGGAGCAGAACAGGCAGACTGACTGAAAAACACTGCTGAGGGGAGCAGCAGGCAAGACAGGAGAGGTCTGCTGTGCCATATAGGTTGCTCTCTGGCCGGCTGGGGATTGAACTCGTGCTGCAGAGGCTTCAGATAGCTTCACAGTGCTGTGCTTAACCCCTTGTGCCACCAGGGAGGCCCTCTCTCCCACCTTTATTCCACTTTCTGACTGTCTTCCCCACCCTGGCCCACCATGTAGTTTCCCACTGTGTTCAGGCCATATTCTGTATGCATCAGTGCATTGATGTTCTTTCAATTCCCTTTTGCTTTCTGCAGATAACAATGCTGGGAATCCAGAAAGATCTGAAGTGGTCCACAGATCCCACTGAAGGGCTCCTCATTAATCTGCCCCAGGTGCCACCCTATGCTCTCCCAGTTGCATTTGCTTGGACTATAAAGCTGGCAGATGTGATGTGATCATTGGAGTTCAAGAGGAGAGGACACCACCTGCTGTTGGCTGCTTTATTTTCCTCTTATAGCACCATCATTGTAATAAACCACTCTTCTCTACCCAGCGATGGCTTTCCTGGCACGTTTTAATCAAGGAACTGAGTACACTATACTGAGGTCTCAGTGGATCTCAGATCTGAGGTCCATTGCTAGCATCTCTCTCTCTCTCTGATCATCAGAAGGAATTAAACAGTTAAAAGCTCTGAGTTAGTCCATTCCTAACTTTGGAAATTATCGACAGTGGAAACCTCCTTTCATTCTCTGATAACCCGCCTGCATATGCAATGACTTCAGATAAAGAATAAGCCGGTTCACCCTGTTGCCTATGGGAGAGTTGAAAAGGGTTTAGCAAGCTCAGCCACATGATATTTGTTCAGGATCAGTTGTCACCAACATTCCCCAAATCTCCCAAGGAGCAGGAGAGTCTGGAGGGGAGGAAAGCCTTCCCAGGCTACCAATGATAAACTTTTCTAAAGTTTTCGCAGCAAACGAAAACCTCTGAAATCTAGTCTGTTTACAGTGATACTACTAAGAAAATGAGTGTGATTCTGACCTCTTTAAAATATAATCAAATAAATTTTGTATGTCAAATCATTTCTACCAGAAAGCATGTTGTTTTCTTCTCTTGGTTTCTATATGGACTGCTTATAGCTTTAATGTGTCTTTCTTTTTGTAAGGCCTACCACATCTCCTTCTATAGAACAAAGAACGTAATTCCTTTAGTTTTTCTGCTCCTCACTTCCAGTACCATTCTACTGAATTGTCTATCAGTTCAGCCTCTTTAACTGTTATAGATTTAATCAAGTTTTTGTTTCTTTTCATTTAATAGATATCTTTAGAAATCTTTACCTAACAATTAGGAGTATGTTTTTCTCAAGCATATTTGGAACATTTACAAATGTAAATACCAAAGAAACAGTATCATAGGCTATATGTATGTCTGCAACATAATTAAAGGATCATAGTCTTTAGAGAGTACTCTGGGAAGATAGTGGCAAGGAAGCCAGGAATCTCTCTCAAAACTAAACAATTATATGGGCCTCCCCTGGTGGCGCAGTCGGTTGAGCACCGCGCTGTGAAGCTGTCCGCAGCCTCTGCAGCGCTGGTTCGATCCCTGCTGGCTAGCAAGGGTCCCACATGGCGCAGCAGACCTCTCCTATCTCGCCCGCTGCTCCCCTCAGCAGTGTATTTCATCAGTCTGCCTGTTCTGTTCCTCGCTCTGTCTCTGGTGAATCCTCTCACCCTCCCACACATCTGGCCTGTACCCTGGTTCTTGTATGAATAAATAAATCTTAAAAAAAAAAAAAAACTGAACAATTATATTGGCAAAATCTGTCTGATGTGACTATTTTAGAACTCTGGGTACTACCCAAGGCTTTCATCTTCCAGAGGAAGCCTCAAATGGTAAAATGTGGTCAACTTTGCTCCGTTTCAGCTACCTGTTCCCATCATGTAGCAGGTAGTTGTGCACCTGGCCTTTGAGCAAAATGCACACAGCTTGTGGGAACCAAGGGCAAAAAAGAATAAATATTGGCGATATATGTACATTTTTAAAAAAATTTTTGACGGTTTTATGCAAACAAGAGCTGGGGTGTAGGGCAGAGGTATGGGAATGTGTGAGAGGATTCAGAAACGAATGGGGAGCAGAACAGGTGAATTGTCTGTAATACACTGCTGAGGGGCGCAGTGGGCGAGTCAGGAGAGGTCTGCTACTCCATGTGAGTTAGCTCCATGGCCAGGGATCAAACTTGTGCTGCAGTGGCTATGGACAGCTTCATAGTACTGAAGCTTAACCCCTAGCGCCATCAGGGAGGATCCTAATATTTGTACTATTATATCTCTAGTATTTGCATTCTGATCATTGATTGTTGTAGACAAAGTTATAGACAAAGAGGTGGGCAGCCATTGTTACACCTCCCTGCATTGTTGCAAGCTGGCTAAGTGGCCTTCCAGAGAATTTAAAGGGCTATCACCCTTTCCCCCTTCTTTCATTTTTACCCTTTTGGTAGCCAGACATCAAAGATGGATATTTAAAACAACAACTTGTGTGGGAGAAACTAGAAAGTAATGAGGTATCCCCAGTGAGAGATTCAGAAAAGGAAACTTAAATTTACACCTCCGACATCCTCAGCACAGAGACAGCCTACAACAATCAAAAAGGCAAAAACAAAAATAGTCACAAAACCCAGCAAAGTCTAGGGGAGAGGGAAGATCTGATTTCCAGAGTTCCACATTAGATTCAAATGTCCAGTTTTTTTATATCTTTTCTTACATCGTTGTTCATTTTTGTACAATATTTTATTTCTCCCCTCATGTAGTCCCCATAATTCTCCCCCTACTGCAACACCTGTCACCATCACCATAGTCCCTTCTGCTCTCCCCTGTTTTGATACCTCTCCCACTCCCTCCTCTACTGCATGCCTTAGATCTGTGGTTTGCCTGAAAGTTTTGCCTTTTTCCTCATCTTCTGTTCTGTTTCCCTGTGTTACTCCTATAAGTGAGACCATCTGATATTTTAAATGTCCAGTTTTAAACAACAAACTTCCCCCCCCAAAAAAAAATCACAAAATATTCAAAGAAACAGGAAAGGGGCCTCCCTGGTGGTGCAGCAGGTTGAGCGCAGTGCTGTGAAGCTGTCCGCAGCTTCTGTAGGGCGGGTTCGATTCCTGGCTGGCCAGGGAGCAACCCGCATGGGGAGGCAGACTGCTCCTGTTGTGCCCGCTGCTCCCCTCAGCAGTGTACTTACGTCCTTCTGCCTGTTCTGCTCCCTGCTCTGTCTCTGGTGAATTCTCTCACCCTCCCATGCCTCTGGCCTATACCCCAGTGCTTGTATAGATAAATAAATTAAAAAAAAAAAAAGCCATTCAGGAAGGAAGGAAGGGAGGGAGGGAGGGAGGGAGGGAGGAAGGAGGAAGGAAGGAAGGAAGGAAGGAAGGAAGGAAGGAAGGAAGGAAGGAAGGAAGGAAGGAAGGAAGGAAGGAAGGAAGGAAGGAAGGACCATTCCAAAGAAAAAGCTAAATAATCTGAAACTGTCCCTGAAGAAGACCTGGTGGCAGATATACTAGACAAAGACTTGAAAATAATCACCTTAAAGATGCTCAAAACACTCAAGATGTGGAGAAAGTCAAGAAATGACAAATGAATGAAATGCATTTATCAATAAAGAGTTAGAAAAACCTAAAAAGAAGCCATAAATTCTGGATCTGAAAAGTACAATAACTGAAGAGAAAAATTCACCTAAGGGATTCAAAGAGACTTTAGCTGGCAGAAGAAAACAGTAAACCTAAAGATAGGACATGGAAATGACTGAATCTGCAGAACAAAAAGAAAAAAGGATTGAAGAAAATACCGTATTTTAGGCCAACAATTAAGTCTCACTAGATTTAAAGATACATAGTTTGACCACAACTGAAAAAGTTACAATAACAGACGGAAAACTGAGAAATTCACAAATTTATGTAAATTAAACTGCATTCACACTACCAAAGCAGCAAAGAAATAATCCCAAGGAAAATTTACAAATATATAGAGATCAATGAAAATTAAAAATCAGCACACCAAAACTCATGGAATGCAGTGACAACAATGTTAAGGTGGAAATTTGTAGGAATAAGCACATTAGAAAGCAGTAAGATCTCAGGGCCTCCCTGGTGGCTCAAGGGGTTAAGCACCACACTATGAAGCAATCCACAGCCTCTGCAGCATGAGATCGATCCCCTGCTGGCCAGAGAGAAACCCACATGGTGCAGCAGACCTCTCCTGCCTCGCCCTCGCCCGCTGCTCCCCTCAGCATTGTATTTCAGCCAGTCTGCCTGTTCTGTTTCCCACTCTGTCTCTGGTGAATCCTCTCACCCCCCCCACATATCTGGACTGCACCCCAGCTCTTATATGCATAAATAAATAAATCTTAAAAAAAAAAAAAGAATAGTAAGATCTCAAATGAGCAACCTGTCTTTGCGTGGGAAATAGTAGCGCTTCATCTTACTGTTTTGAGAAACAGTCATACTATGTGTGTTGCTTATGAACTTGTTTTCCCACGTGTCCCAGACTCCAACACCATGAAACTAGAGATCTTAGGTCACTGCCGTTCCTCTTACAATCCCAGCGCGACACTGGCTGCAAGAGAAAAGGCGCTCAGAAAATAACCCTAAGGACAAAGAAGAACCCGCCAGGAAGAAAGCAACAGAAGAGGCTCGGGGCGGGGCCACCGTGGAGCGTCATCACGTCGCTCCGGAGGTCCCGCCCCCAAGGCGGGGCCAGGCCCCTGGGGCAGCGGTCACGTGGGACGCAGCTGAGCCGCCGCGGGGGAAGCTGGGCCAAGATGGCGACTGTGAGGAAGGCGCTGCCGCGGAGACTGGTGGGCCTGGCGTCCCTCCGGGCTGTAAGTGCCCCGGCCCGCCAAGGAGGCGGCCCTGCGGACGCCGTGACGGTTGGGGTCGGGGGCTTGAACCGTAGAGGCTGCTCTCTGGGAGGCAAAGCCGGACAGTTCTTCAGGCCAGAGCCGGCAGGGCCTTGGCGTCTTGGACCCTCCCTGTCCCTTCCCTGCCCTCGCGGGGTCTGGGGAAACTTGAGGCCCGGAGAGGAGGAGCGACTGGTTGTGGAGGCACGGGACGCCATCCCAGGGCTCCTAATTCCCTGTCGACAGCTTCTCCTGGTGACCCTGGCATATGTCTCTCTCTCACTCACTCACTCACTCTCACTCTCCCCGAGCTTCAAGCCTCTCCAAGCACCTCGTTATGAAAATCACGACTACCCTTCCAGTTCCCAGTGGGAAAAGCAAGGTCATCCTCTGCGCCCTCCACTTTCAGCTCTTCTTGCGTTCGGGGACATTTGGCAACCAGTCCCGTCGTGCCAAGTAGAGCTTGGGTCGCGTTGTGCCAAGCTCTGGTTCCCTTGGCATTAATTGTACTTTGGGCTGATCTGTGGCTGTGTTGATATTTCTCTCTCTCCCAGGGTCAGTGAGTGGAGGGAAAGTGTAGAAGACCTGGTTGTACAAAGGATGAGTAAAACTCAAGCTGTGCTGTCCCGTGGTTCTACTTTCCAGGCAGGATGACGTATTTATCCCCTGAATCTCAGTGTTCTCATCTAAACCATAGATAAATAAAATTACCTTAGGATTGTTTTGGCCATTAAAGAAAACGAAGTTAAAGCATTTGACGTTCCAGCTCTTAGTGATAGATGGGTTGTGGTGTTTTTTGTTATTTTATTTTATACATTTTTTACATCATTTTTTATTTTTGCACAATGTAGGCATTTTCATCTTGGTTATAGTCCCCATACAATATTCCCACCACCCCCTTGTTTTGATCCCACCCCTGCACCCCCTAGTGTGTCTCTGGTTTATAGTTGTTTGTTGATTTTGCTTTTTACTTTATTATAATTAGGTTTTTTCCTAGTCCCTTATTTAGGTTTTCTAAATTCCTGCTATGAGTGAGACCATCCGGTATTTTTCTTTTTCTTTCTGGCTTATTTCGCTGAGCATGAGCCCTTCCAGCTCCTCATGAACATTTAGAGGGAGTTCTAACTCTGTACTGGGAAGGATTACACCATCTGGGGAGTGGGCCCCTCTCAGAACACCACTTTAATGCCTGCAGGGTCACCACCTCCACCCACTTCTCGTGTAAAATAAGGATGATAATTCCACCTTGACAAGTTAAAATTAAATGAGATGCTAGCTATGAATGTGCTTTGAAAAAATAATTGGTATGATGAGATGATAGTGATAGGCCCTCCCTGGAATATCTAGCACAGAACTGTTATCAGAAGCAGACCATTCAAGTCCCAGAGTCCTCACTTCCTAGTGTTATGATTTTGGGTAATCTTCCTGAAGTGGTTTCTTTCTGAAGTTGGGATTGGCATGATGATAATCAACTCCCATATAGGGACTAAATGAGGTACTAATGCCTGAAGTTAGCACTGGGCTTTAGTCAGTATTCACTATTGCTATAGCTATACCGTAGCTCAGGAGTCTGAGCCCCAGGACTGGGGTTAAGAGTGTGCTTTCTAGGTTCACACTGCCAAGTTCAGGTAATGACTGACTTAACCATATGACCTTGGGAAAGTTACTTAATTTCTTTGAACTTGAGATTTCACACAGTGAATTGGGGATGATTACAGTAGCTACCTAATAAGATTATTGAAAGGTTGGCATGGGTTGATATGTTAAAAGCTCTTAAAAGTGCCTGACAAATAGTAAATGCTTAATAAATTTGAATTGGTGTTCTTTTGTTATTAGTGAAGCATTGTATAGAGAAGGATGTGGATGAGTTTCTTCTAATAAAAGAAACTTAAAATCTTCAACAACATTCAGCATCTATTGAACCCTTATTATGTCCCAGGGCCTTGGGAATACGGCAGTGAATAACACAAAGTCCCTGTCTTGTGAAACTTGCATTCTCTTGGGATAATTTTAGGGTAATGTACCAGCAGACACAGAACATCCTGTTGGAGGGACATTCAGCTTGCAGGGACCATCCATCTCAGCCTACTGACTTCATGAAATGCATCTTTTTGGAAACTTTGCTGCTCACAACCAAAACCAGTTAGGGGAGCTTGTCAAGTTCAAGCTCATTCAACAGTAGGGAAAATTCCTTCCTTAAGGATTTTTGGAAGTGGAGATCCTTTCAAGTGGAGACACCCCCCCCCACACACACACACACACATTCACAATTGCCCCATTGCAGTATATCTATTGGGGTTAAATCTTGTAAAATGAAAATAATTTGAAGAATTGTAGTATTAGGGAGAGTGCCAAATCCTAACCACTAGATCACCAGGGAGCTGAATTGTGGTATTAGAAATAAATCAATTATTGGGCCTCCTTGGTGGCACAGGGGTTTAAGACTCAACCTATGAAGCTGTCCACAGCCTCTGCAGCACGAGTTCAATTCCCGGCCAGCCAGGGAGCTGCCCGTATGGCGCAGCAGACCTCTCCTGACTTGCCCACTGCTCCCCTCAGCAGTGTATTTCAGTAGATCTAACTTCTGCTCCCCACTCTGTCTCTGGTCACCTCTCACCTCCCCCCACACTTCTGACCTGTACCCCAGCTCTTGTATGCATAAGTAAATAAATCTTTAAAAATAAATAAATTATTAACTCCATTTCTAGCCCTGATTTCTAGGAAATCAGGAAGAAAAATCTCATATTGGTGAAAAGAGGAAGATTTGGGACAGACTTGATAGAGAGGAAACTCAAGAGAAAGAACTCAGCTTTGTACCAAACCTGGTTCTAAACACAAGGGACGAAGTGGAGGTTGAAACAAAAGTCTCCTAGAGCTTGTATTCTACATGCCTTCACTGAGTAGACATTATTTGCTGTGCTAAAGAAAGTCCTGACAGAGTAATAAGAGTGAGCGATTGGCAGCTGTACAAAGGGTGGTCAGGCAGAGCAGGCCTGTTTATCACTGAAGGGTGAGAGAGAGCCCCGTGAACAGCATTCTGTGCAGAAGGAAGAGCCAACAGTGAGGCCCTGTGTGGGATAAAGGCCAGTGGGACTGGAATTGAGTGACCCCATATCAGGGTGGTGTGTGGAACAGTAAGAACAAGGAAGGGAGTTCAGGATCAGCAGGAGTCTTCTGATAACCTTACAGAACATGTGGCAGTGGGGAGGTGATGAGTTGGTTTCTGGCTTACGAAACATGCATGTGATGCCTTTTAGTGAGAAAGGGTGAAGACAGACAGGGCATTACAAGTTCTGTTTGGGGACTTCTAAATTTGAGAAGTGAAAATAAGTTTATATAAGAAACAAACTAAAAGTGTCAGACAGTTAGAAATGGGTCTGAACTTCAGGGGAGTTGCAGATAGGCTTACATTAAGGAGCATGAATCTTGCTCATCCCTCATTTCTGAGATGACAGATAATAGAAGAAAAACATATATTGGTCTCAATCCCTGGTCCCTAAAACCCTTACAATTTCCCAAGTGGTAATAAGCACTAGGGGCGTCTTTTGCTCCAATGAGGTGACTCTAGGTGGGCTCCTGGGTGGCCCCTCTTGGGGGCTGGTCACCAGAAAGACCAAGCCTTGAATGAAAGTTTAGAATTTTCAGTTCTAGTCCCCCATCCTTCAGAGAGGGGAAAGGGGCTAGGAATAGAGTTAATAATTGATCATGCCAACTTTAATGGGCAAGCACATCCACCCCGAGAGGGTGACGTACCCCAGCTCATGGGGGACAGAAACTTGTGCATTTAGGACCCTCCCCGACCTTGTCCTCTGTATTGCTTCAGCTGGCTGTTCATCTGTATCCTCTGTCATATCCTTTAATAAACTTTAAACGTATTTTCCTGAGTTCTACGAGCTGCTCCAACAAATTAACTGAACCCTAGAGGTGCTTTGGAACATACCATTTTTTACTGAGAAAGGGTAAAGTCAGATTGGGCTTTAGGAGTTCTATCTGGGGACTTCTAAATTTGAAAAGTATAAATAAGTTTATATAAGAAACAAGCTAAAAGTGTCAGGCAGTTAGAGATGGGTCTGAACTTGATGTGAGATGACAGATCGCCTGGGCATCTGAAGGTGGGGTGGCAGTCTTGTGGGCCTTAGCATTGCAGAGAACTGCCTGTTGCAGGGGAAAACTGCCACAGTTTTGGCGATCAGAGTGAAGAGTGCTGTGTGAGCAATAAAGGAGACTAGCGGGAAAAACACTGGGGAAGAACTAGGGAGAGAAAAACCGACTTTTCCAATTTACAGAAGTGAAATAATGTTTTCTTCTAAAACAGACCAAATGTGAATGAAATGGTGAGAAATAATTGCTTTTTACCTCAGTAATAGATTTGTCCCCTTGAAGGATTGCGACAGTCTCTTCCTGTTGCTTCTTGTTTCCTCTCTTAAACCAAAGGTCAGCACCTCATCCATGGGTACTTTTCCAAATCGGGTGAAGATTGTAGAAGTTGGCCCCCGAGATGGACTACAAAACGAAAAGGTAAAGCGGGAGATCAACCAAGAAAAGGTCTTTCGAGCATGGGGATTTCTGCATGGGGGTTGCAGCGGGACCGGACAGTGCAGAGTGAGACCCCATCACTGCCCAGTTTGGGGCTGGTCAGGAGGCCAGGCAGGCATCCACCACGCAAGCTGTCTGAGATGATGGCAAGCAGGTGTGTCCCCAGGTCCAGCTCACAGCCCAGTGGGGTGGAATGGCTGATGAGGGCTGCAGGGGTGTCGAGCGCAGGTCGGGCATGCCTGTGGATCCAGCAATGGCACGTTGCGGGGTTCATCCCAGGGAAGTCATGAAGGTCACATGCAGGGATTTAGCCACAGGGATGTTCCTTACCACCCTTGGTAAGAACAGAAATGGAACAGTGCTGTCCAGTGGAGCTTTTTGTAAAGATGGAAATGTTCTAGACTTGAGCTGTCTCACAGGGGAGCCACTTGGCACATGTGGCTATTGAGCACTTGAAATGAGGGCCCGAACTTTTATTTTTATGTAATTTTTAATGTAATTTTAATTGAAGTACATGTGAAGAATTACATAGAAGTAGTATCTAACTTACTGGACTGAAAAGTCACATAGCAGGGAGTTAATCGTGCACCCCTGAGAAGTTTTAAGGGTGGTTTTCTATTGTTTTTTTTTTGGCATGTTTTTCTGAAATAACCATGTGTATTATTTTTTCAACAAGAAGAGCTTCTTTTTTTAAAAAGTGTGACCTGTCCCTCAATAATGAGTGTTTTGGGGAAGCAGTGGGAGATAAATTGAGAGGGGGTGTGTGTGTCTAAACAGACCTGGCAAGAAAAACCTAGAGTTCCTAGTATTTTTTACTTAATCATGTAGGTACTAGGGAGCCACAGAAGGCTCATGACCCGGAGAGTGAAACAGTGGAAACCGTTCATGTCTGTGTGGGATGAGACTGCCATAACATACATGGGATAACGGCAGCTTCGGAAGTTGGAATCTGTTGAGCAAGCAGACAGGATCCGAGAGGGAGAGAAGGAAGCGAGAAGCTGAACGTGTGAGGATGAGATCCCATATGAGCTGGGAGATGGCACAAGAGTGGGTGTAATACTTGGGGATCCCTTCTCATAGGACCCAGAGGATTCGCCATTCCTGCACTTTTGGCCATGGCACATTGCTCTCGACTTGTTTATGATGGGGTCATAAGTGAATGAACCTTAAGAAAGAGCCTGTGTGGCAGACACATAGTGTCCCTGTGTAAATATTAACTCATTTTCAGGTGAGGAACCGTCTCGACTGCAAAATACTATCTTGAACTTGAAGACAAGCTGAGGATGACATGTGAATTCCTATTAGTGTTGGAAGTTGAGATAGCGAAGCGCTTGTGGTAGCAAAAGCCTTGACCTAATAAGAGGCATTGGCCTGAGGCCGTTTTATTCCCACTTCGCTGACCTGGCTTTTCTGGTGTTTCTCTGTTACAGAATATCGTACCTACGCCAGTGAAAATCAGGCTGATAGACATGCTTTCTGAAGCAGGACTCCCCGTTATAGAAGCCACCAGTTTCGTGTCTCCCAAGTGGGTTCCTCAGGTGAGCCCAGCCCTCAGGGAGAGATGTTTCTTAGATGAGAGGACGGAAAGTTTAGCATTTGCCCTAAAGTAAGTAGAAGTTGGGAACAGGTTTCTGGTTCTCTCACCCTGAGAGGTCCCAGGTGACTCAGCCCTGTGGGACAGCAAAAGAACACTACTTGGGAGGTAGGAGGCTTAATCGGCCATGGCTCTGTCCCTGGTTTGCCTGGTGACCTTGGTAAATCCATCCCCTCTCCAGATTGGTGACCTCTCGGTTGGTCACTTCTGGCTCTAGCAATCTAGAAGGCCTAGTCCTGTCCAGAGATGTGGTTTTTGTCTTTGAAAAAGAGAAAGACTGACGCCTCCTGCTTCCTGGAGACAGTCAAGTGGGAAGAAGTAACTGTCCCAGAAAGTGTTTGACATGCAGAGTCCAGCTGGGTGCCTAGCCCTGAGCACCTTCTCAGTAAGTGGCTGGTTTTCTGGGAGTTTTATTTCTGCTTATACTGCTTATGTAAAGCTGCCAAAATGAGCTAAGGAGAAACTTCTACCCCTATGAGACTTCTTCGCCAACAGTCAAATATCAAAAAAATCATTGGGGAGATTGAACTGTCCAAAAGGCCTCATTCACCAAGGGTTCTGAAGAATAGAGACTCTGTGATCAAAAGGTCTTCTCCTCCTGGCCTCCCTGGTGGTGCAGGGGTTAAAGTCTTAGTGCTCTCAAGCTATGGGCAGCCACTGTGACATGAGTTCCATCCCCAGCCAGGGAGCTGACCCACATGGCGCAGCAGGCACCCTCTGTCTCTCCCGCTGCTCCCCTCAGCAGTGTATTTCAGTACATCTGCCTGTTCTACTCCCCGCTCTGTCTCTGGTGAATCCTCTCACACCTTGTACCTCTGGCCTACACCCCAGTTCTTGTATTATAAATAAATAAAATAAATCTTTAAAATAAACAAGCTCCTTGCCTGCCCTTGGCAGTGACTTGGCAATGTCTCCTTTGGCTCCCAGATGGCTGACCACGTTGAAGTCTTGAAGGGCATCCAGAAGTTTCCTGGCATCAACTATCCAGTTCTGACCCCAAATTTAAAAGGCTTCCAGGCAGCGGTAAGAAACTTACTGATGAGCTAGTGGGGCTCCTGCAGCGGACTTGTGGTGTTGGCCCCTGCCTCGTCCTGGGCCTCAGTCCTCGTCCCAGGGTGTCCGTCCCACCAACTGATCTCCAATGGTGATGAGCACCTCCAGTCAGTCCTGCCATCCCCTTCCCAGCTCTCTGATCTGATTAACTTGCTTAACCTCTCTGAACCTCAGTCTGCCTACAAAATAGGACTAATGATGGTACCTAATGGTGTGAAGATTTCAGAAGGGGGCGTGCACGTAAATTGCTTATTAGCAAGAGCCGGGACATGAGCAAACATGACAGTGTCCGCTCTTGGTATTAGAGAGAAATAATCAGGCTCCCCACAGTAGTACCGGTGTCTGCCACTTTCTTACCATTTTTGGCGAGAATGTCACCAGAGATGTTGAATGAGAATTGAGGCAGAAAGCCGCTTCTGAGAATGACTTCGAGTGTAGTGGTGTCAGCGGCAGTATTGGTCCTTGGGAGGAAGACTAAGGTTTTGTCCTTGATAGTGGAGACATAACTCACCGTGTTAATTTCCTAGGGCTGCCATAACAAATTTGTTTCGGTGACTGAAACAACAGAAATGTCTCTTCCCTGGTTCTGGAGGCCACGGTCTAAAATCAGGTGTCTCTTGGGCCTCCCCTGGTGGCTCAGCGGTTGAGCGCTGGGTTGCGAGGCTGTCCGCAGCCTCTGCAGTGCCAGTTCAATTCCAGTTCAATTCCCTCGCCACTGGCAAGGGTCCCACAAAAATAAATAAATAAATAAATAAATAAATAAATAATAAAATCGGGTGTCTCAAGCTTGGTTCCCCGGGAGCTCTACTGAGAGAACCTGTCTCAGGCCACTCTCCTGACTTCCGGTGGCAACAGTCATCCTTGGCCTTCCTTGACTTGTGGGTGCATCCCTCTAGTCTCTGCCCCCATCTTCCCTGAGCTTCCCCCCAGTTCCTGTCTTTCCACAGTTGCTGTCTTGCAAGGACACAGTCCCTTGAGGTCAGGGAAGACCCCGCTGCAGTCTAGCCACAGCCTCACTGCACACATCGGCAAGGACCCTACTTCCAAATGAGGTCACGTTCTGGGGTTTGGGGATCTAGGACTTAATGTGCCTTTTCAGGCAGGCCTCAATTCACATGATATCTAAGTGCCATCAAATTCACTGTGAGATGTGGGTTTTGCCACTCTGTGTTAGTGCTTCTTGAAGAAAAAAAATGCTGAAAGAATTGGTCTGACTATTGGCAGGTTGCTGCTGGAGCCAAGGAAGTGGCCATCTTTGGAGCCGCCTCTGAGCTCTTCACCAAGAAGAATATCAACTGCTCCGTGAATGAAAGTTTGCAGCGGTTTGACGAAGTCCTGAAGGCGGCTCGGGCAGCCGGAATCCCTGTGCGTGGGTGAGTCTCCCCCACTTGACTTTCCTCAGTACCATTCTGGAAGGGGGGCCAGATTGACACCCACAACCTTCCCCCCCCATAGACTCCTTACCCTGTGTGTGGCACCCCAAGCCCACACCTAGATCCCTTTACCCTTGTAAATGTGATAGGAATCCTAGCAAGTGCTTCCTCTTAAACCTGATTTTTGGGTCAGTTCACGAGAACTTGAGCAGGACATCCTTAACGGGGTGGTGGAGGTCAGGTTAATCCTGGCTCCACCTCCAGGTCCTCACACATCTCTGAAGAATCCCTAAACCTTCAACCTCATAGTTGTGCCACGGTGTCTGTGGATTACCTCACTGAAACCTCACAATCAGCCCACAAGGAGGAGGCTGTCCCCACTTACAGTGCTAAGGCTCAGGAAGGATGAACAGAGTCTCCTGTGAGGTCACATAGCTGTGCAGATTGCAACCAGTGTGCTCTCAGAAGTGCATATCTGCACTGGTTAAAACCTTTCAATGATGCCCCAAGTCTAGACTTTCCAACCTGGTTTGCAAGACACCCCTCTCTGCAGCCTTATTTTTCACAGCTCCCTGCTTCCTCTGTGGACCACATTCCAACTGGAACTTCCTCCCATTTGTCACATGACCCCATTCCCACCACTGGGCCTTTGCACATGCTTTCCGTAGTCTCTGAACAGCGTTCCTCCAACATCCTACTTGTCAGGACTAACTCCTGCTCTTCTTCAGGGACTCTCATGACTGCCAGTTTCTCTGAGGCGCTGTCCCTGCCCCTCTGCTGGAATTGCTGCCCCTTGTCTGGGATCCCATGGCCCCTGGACACCCTGTACCATAGGACTTAGCTACTCCTCCAGTTCTCTCCTGCCTCCCACCCCGAGACTATATGTCCCATGAGGCCCGAGCTCACATCTCTCTCAGTCTTTGGTGTGCTCCCTTCTCCCAGCTCAGCCTCTGGCACACAGTAGGTTCTAAGGGACCAATGGACGATGAACAGTCGGCTGGGGAAATAGGGCCACATCCAGTGTGCCTGGCTCCAGGGCTGTGCTCTTTCCTTAGTGTCGCTGTCTTCTCCGTGCCCAGCAGTGTTGGGAGAAATGGAGAATAAAAACAGAAAAACACACTAAGATCTTGACTCCAAATTATTTCTCTAGCAAACATTTATTATGCTTCTTATTATGCAGAGTGGTTTGCTGAACCCTAAAAGATTTTAATGGCCCCTCAGCTCCAGCAGGGCAGCTGGAATAAGCCATCTACATCCAAGATCCAGACTCCTTACCGTAGCTCTCAAGCCTGAGATGGGCCTGTGCCCACTGCTCCCACCTCATGTCGTGGTTCTTTGCCCTTTGCTCTGTGTGCCTGAGCTGTTCTGTCTGCTCTTCATCGCAGGGCCTCTGCCCTGGCTCTTCGCTCTGCCCAGAGGCTCCTCCTGCATCCCTCCTCCTCTCAGCATTGTGTCCTCACAGAGGTCTTACAGCCTCCCGTCTACCGACGGCCACTTCTATGAATTTCTGAGATTCTCTAACTCTTGTACTGAATGGCCTTAGTATTAGCTACTCCCTATCTTGAAACAAGCTTCATGAGGGTCAGGACCTCATCTGTCTTGTTCACTGCACAGCCCCAGTGCCTGGCACATAGTGGGCAACTCAGTACAGCAGTGAGTAAATGAGTGGATGAATCCTCTGGAGCTCACCAGAACGGCTCATCCCTTGGCCCTCAGGTCAGCCCAGCTCTTTTGTTTTTGCCTTTGGCTACATCAGTGCTTGGTCCCCTCTGTGAATATGGCCCTGGCCACACCAGCACACATTTCTGTTTTACTTCACACCATACAGCTCAGTGCTTGCTCTAAGTGCCTCCCTAGCTTCTCTCGAGACCAGGCCTAGTAGCCCAGTCTTCCCGCCGTGGCTCTCCACTGCCCCCTCCTGGCACTGAGTGGCACTCCTTTCTCAGGCCACATCATTGATGGATACTTCTCTAGGCCCTTGGCCTCCCAGGCATTTGATCTCCTGCCCAGCTTCAGGTTTTGATTGCTGGGTAACCAGGGATGTGTGTCATCCTGCCAGCCAAGGAGCTCAGGGACAGTGACACCATTCCTTCCCTGTCTTCCCACAGGTACGTCTCCTGTGTGCTTGGATGCCCCTATGAAGGGAAGATCTCCCCGGCTAAAGTAGCTGAGGTGTGTGTCGGGGCAGGGGTTTCGTGAGGGTTGGCTTCCTGGCCGGCCCCTGAGTGCATACGTTTCTCTCACCACCCTGGCCTGGGGGTGATTTCATTTGTCATGAAGCCCCTCTGTGAGCACTGGCTGCTGGAGGCCCACCTCCTAGCCTCTTGGAGTCTGTGAACCCTCTGCCTCCACCATTTTCCAGTCTGGTCAATGGGCAGGTGGTAATTGAAGTGATAATCCTCTGTGGAGGGTTCCTGCAGTGCCTTATTGTGGTTGGAGAGGACACAGCCTTAAAGACACAGTGCTTAGGTGTTTAGTCCTCAAAACCATTCTGCAGACTTGGCAGCGCCATCATCATCATCACTCCATTTCATAGCTAAGGAAACTAAAACTAACTTGCCACACAGGATGCAGATGGTGAGGCCAGGTCTGATCCCCCATCCTGTTTACCTCCAAAGCCCACTGCTCTTCCCACCTATGTAGCCTCCAAAAATGGGACATACTAACGATGGCAACTGCTTATTTGAGGGTGGCTGCTGTGCTTCTGGTCTCAGCTTCCCATTGCTACCCGTCCTCACTGCAGCCCCACAAAGGCTCATTATGGTTTTCAGAAGCTGAAATTTAAGCTCCGAAAATTGAAGTCCCTTGCGAAGGTCCTGCAGCCACTAAGCAGCAGAACTGGGCTTGAATCCAGCTTGTGTCCAAAACCTGCTCCTGCCGCTGCCCCTCAGCCCCCACAGCCTGGCTCCTTTCACTCCACCTGCAAGGCAGGGGCCAGTGGGGGGCGGGGGGCGCTCATCACATCCTTAGCCAGCAGGCCGCTGTTGAGTGTCATCTCAGGCCCTGACCCTGCCATATCCTCTGCCTCCAGCAACATAGTGGGGTGGTGGGGTGGGGGGAGCAGCATCTCCTCAGGTGGGGTGTGTCCTGCTCGGGCTTTGCAATGACTTTAGGGTTTAGAAATGGGCTTCTAAAAATTTAAATAGTTATGTACCTCTATGAAAAGTAGATGGCTGGCACCTCAGATCCATGATTTCACAAATCTTCTTACTAGGATAAGCTACATGAAAATAATCCGTTTTACTGATCCCGGGACATGGATCTGACATTGTATGTGAAGGTGGTAAGTGACCAGCCAAAGTTAGGGTACAGGGCTGAGAGGAGGCCAGGGTTTGGAGCCTCAACCCCTGCCCAGCAGAGCTCCCTTCTGAGTAAGATGAGGATTACCATTCTCACATGCAATTGCAAGGAGCCTGTGGGCTGAGAGGAATCCAGTGCTTCAGACATGGAGGTGGCCTGCATGGGCCAAGGAGCCCAGCTTCTGGGCTCCAGAGCCCTTGCTTGAGCAGCCTCATGTCCTTCAAGTGCCCACTTGTTTCCCCAGGTCTCCAAGAAGATGTACTCAATGGGCTGCTATGAAATCTCTCTGGGGGATACCATTGGTGTGGGCACCCCTGGTACCATGAAGGACATGCTGTCTGCTGTCATGAAGGAGGTGCCCTTGACTGCCCTGGCTGTCCACTGCCATGACACCTATGGCCAGGCCCTGGCCAACACCTTGATGGCCCTGCAGGTAATGCATGTCCCAAGAGAAAGGGGGCTGGGTAGCTGGGTGGTAGTTATTCTTTAGCACACATTTACTGATACCTGGGCTGGTCCTGGTGGACACAGACATGTTACTTAGCCCTGAAAGGGCCCACATCTGTTAGGAGAGACAGTGAGGGAGTTTAAATGATAATCCTACTGCTTATGACAATGCCACAAAGAAAGGAAGCACAGGGCTGAGGAAGACCCCATCACAGTTGAGGAGGTCAGAGGATTTGCCAGAAGAGGCCTGAGTGAGTTGTAAACTAAGGCGGGCTGCAGGGCAGATCTGGCCTTGCGGTAACCTGCTGGGCTGAGTGTGGGGGTGCGTGGACAGGGTGTAGGCCAGGAAGGAGAGGTAGGAAGACACTACTCAGACTTCACTGCTGGTCCCCTTTACTGCTGAGACCTCAGATTGGGTTTCCCTTGACATTGGCTATTTTGTGGGCTGGCTGAAAGGATCCTGTCAACGGGACCCTTGGGAGGAGCCACAAGTGTCTGAGCAAGGCTGCCCTGCTGCGGATTAGTCTGGGGTGGACAATCCTGGACAGTTTCTTTTCCCCCACCCCCTTTCAAATTACCTTCTGGAGGCTGATATCTCCAGCTGATTCTATTTCTTTCTGGGTCTATTTCTCAGAATTGGGTTGTCAGAGTTAAAGTTCTGTTGGAGGGTTAAAAGGAAAGACGGTGAACCATTAGAGTGGGAAGTGACTGACCTGGGGAGTGGGCCAGGCCCCAGTGGAGCTAAAGGGAACCCCAATTTGAAGTGAGAGCAGTGAACAAGAGCTGAAATCTCATCAATGTGGGGGGCTTACTTTAGTTCGGTGATCTGGAAGGGCCTCTGAAAGGAGGTAGCTTTTAGGCTGAGCCCTTAGATTGAGGACTCAACCTTGAAAGCAGTGGAGGAAAGATGTTCTTGACAGACACCTGCTCCAGGAACTAAAAGGAGAAACACCATCTCTTTTAGGAGGATTTTCACTTCAGTAGAATCATAAACCAAAGGAATGAATAACTCGGTGGTTTTTCCAGCAGTAGAGATTAGGAATTTGACAGCCATGTTTTCACCATCCTTATGTTTCCAGATGGGAGTGAGTGTGGTGGACGCTTCTGTGGCAGGACTTGGAGGCTGTCCGTATGCACAGGGGGCATCAGGAAACGTGGCCACAGAGGACCTAGTCTACATGCTGACTGGCTTGGGCATCGACACGGTAAGCCCACCTGCTCCCTGGTGGCAACAACCCTGAATTGGCCAGAGCTCTGCCTGAAACCGGAGCACAGAGCTAGTGGCTTTAGGTTTTTCCTTTTTTTTTCCCCCAGAGAGGGAGTGTGAGGTGTGTACAGTAGAGGGGAAGGTTGCTGCTAGAAGATTGGGGATGTTGTATCGTGTCGTTGACAGAGGCCACGAGAAGGCCAGGCACTCGGTGAGTTTGACAGGGCAGTTCCAGGAGGCACAGGGTGTAGGGAACAGGCCCTGAAGGGATCAGCTCATGACAGGAAATGAGCCTGTCCCCTGTGGACTTTGTTTTGTTTTCTGTAAAATAAGGGCAGTAGAATTAGCCCCTGGGGTTCTGCCAGTGCATAGAACCCCCACTGGTCCATGGGTGTGCTTGGAATTAGATGGAACTGGCTTTTTTTTCTTACATCATTGTTAATTTTTGGACAGTATTTGATTTCTCTTCTCAGGCGTAGTCTCTGTCGTTCACCCCCCACCAGAGCACCCGTGATCTATCTGTACAGTCCCTGCTGCTCTTCCTCCCCCTCCCCTGCTGTAAGTCTCAGATCTATGGTCAGCTTGCAAGTTTTGTCTTTTTTTTTTTTTTTTTTTAAGATTGATTTATTTAAACAAGAACTGGGGTACAGGTCAAAGGTGCAGGAGGGTGAGAGAATTCACCAGAGAGAGCGGGGAGCAGAACTGGCAGACGGACCAAAGACACTGCTGAGGGGAGCAGCGGGCTCGACAGGGGAGGTCTGTCTCGCCATGTGGGAATCTCCTTGGGCGGCCGGGAATCGATCCCGCATGCAGAGGCTGTGGACAGCTTCACAGCGCTGTGTTCAACCCACTGCGCCACCAGGGAGGCCCGCAAGTTTTGTCTTTTTCCTGATCCTTTGTTCAGTTTCTTTATATTCTACATATAAGTGAAACCATCCACTATTGATATTTTTCCTTCTGACTTATTTCACTTAGCGTAATCCCTTCCAGCTCCATCTATGTTGCTGCAAATGGCATGAGTTTATCTTTTTTGATGGCTGAGTAGTATTCCATTGTGTATATAACACATCTTGATCCATCCCTCTGTTTTGGGGCATTTAGGTTGTTTCGGAACTGGCTTTATTACCTAGTCCTGCCATGTTCAGGCTTGTATCACTTCATCTCTCTGTGCCTAAAAGATGAATAATACCAATGTTTATCTCATTGTCAGTTATGAGGATTAAGTATAAAAAGGTAGAGTGCTTAGCCCAGAGCTGAGCACATAGTACATCAGTAAATGTGAGTTATTATAGTGGTTTTCAACATGGCCTTTTGTAGAGAGTAATTTTACACCTATCTCCCCAAGCTTATTACTTCACTATATAGTTTTTGACCCTGTGGGCCAGCCTTATGGTAGGAACTGGAGATGGAGGCCTGAACAGGATTGATGAGCTGCCTCCCTGGTGGTATCACTACAAAAACAGAAGGAGGTGCCTTATACAAGAGAGTGAGGGCAACCTCAGATGCCAGGACACGACCTTACGGGCAGCTGGGTTTTCCTGTCAGGAACAAGAGCACTTTTTCACCTTCTCAGTCTGTGCAGTCTGCCGCTCGCCTGGGTGGAAACAGGCTTGCCATGACTCACTGTGTCCTCTCACTTATTTCTCAAAGGGTGTGAACCTCCAGAAGCTCCAGGAAGCTGGGACCTTTATTTGTCAAGCCCTGAACAGGAAAACCAGCTCCAAAGTGGCTCAGGCTACCTGTAAACTGTGAGCCCCGTGCCTACCCAAAGCCCTGGGGACTGCAGGGTATAGGGCTGGCACACATGGATGATGTCCTGATGGACACATGGAAAATGGGGATGAAATTAATGGGCAAGTACCTCACAGCCAGCTCTGCACTTAGGTCACCTGGCAGGAAGGACGCAAGGGACAGACACTGTGTGACCCAGGCCCACCCTGCCAGGCCTGGCTGGGCAGGAGTCAGTGGCTTTGGAGACTGGGGGGTCTCCCCTCACCATGGACCCATCAGCCCAGAAGTTGGGTACCCAGTTCCTTGGCTTGGGCTGATCATCAAGCCTCACCTCTGTTGATATCTGGGTAGTCCACTGCACAGCTCAGCTCTGCCATGGTCTAGAAGCCGTCGCTCGGACTTCGTAGGGCACAGGGGCAAGGAAATGGGTATTTGCTGAAGAAGCGAAGGTGAGCTGTGATGGCTACCTGCCAGCTCCAGCATCTCTGGAAGATCTTTTCTCTGAAGGTGATTTTTGAAAACATCCTATGTAATTAAAGGTTTAATGACACAAGCATTCCAGTATGTGCGTGTGTGTGTTATGAGAGTGTGGGAGATGGAGAAATAAAACATCTTTTCAACGTTGCACTCCGAAGAAAATGTACCCTTTACTAGTAATCTCTGGATTCACTGTTTCCCCAGCTGAGCTCTAACGCAGTGGCTCTAGGGGCGCTAGGCTGCTCAGGGCTGGCCACAACACCCTGGATGTTGCTGGGGAGGCTCCTGGCTCTGTGAGGAGAGCTGATGCACAAGCTCCCCGGCTGTCTTCCAGCCTGGGCAGGCACTGGTTTTGTTATAGAGCAACCCTGATATTAAACGGGTTCCTGCCTAATGCGCTTTCATGGTGACCAACACAAGAAAAATTACTTTGGGCTGGTCAACCACGGGTGAAACTTGCAAAGCACGTTGGGCGCCAAGCTGTTATAGAGCAACCCCGATATTAAATGGGTTCCTGGCTGTGGGTCCTCACCCGCGCACTTTAAAGGGACTTATTGAATACTCTACTACAGACACACACAAAAGGGTTAATAAAAGGTTTATTTACAAGAGAAAAGGAAATAAGGAAAATGTACAACTCAGGGAGAAAATAGGGAAATAAAGTCTTTAATGCGTCCTACCCGATCCGACGACCTGGAAACCCAAAGTCACTCAGAGCTGGCCGGACGCTGTGAGCTGGCCGAGAGCCAAAAATGGGGATCCCCAAAGCCCACGTGTCTGCCTTTTATATCCACCTGGCTGCTTAACCCCACCAAATCCCAGCCACCTTCCCTTTGGTGGTGATGGGATTTGGAGTTCCCAGTGTCTTTGGCTTTGACCTGGGGTGGGAGTGGAGTCCACAAAGCCTGTATGGAATTTGCTTTGGGACATCCTTTTCCGCCTAACAGTTTGAGCACCCTTAGCCCTTTGTACCTCCAGCTCTACCTGCATCAGTTGCCCTTCCTGGACATGGGAGTCCCTGACATTCCAGACTGTGGGGAACGCTCATGCATTTATTCAGGTTTCATCACTCTGCCCCGCCTTTATTTTAAACAGAAACAGCATTTTCTACTTACTACGGTAGGCAGGGTGCAGACGAACCAGCTGGAAGCACAGTCTCTGCAGGCTGGGCAGGGGGCACCTTCCTCCAGCGCTTAGGTTTTCAAACTAGACTTCCCAGAACCTGCGGCGTCTGGACGTGCCCCTCCCATTCCCTTCCGACGACGCCGCGCCCTGCGGGCTTTGTTCCACGCAGCTGTATGATTTTTGGCAAATACAAAAAACCTACGGGTAGCGTGGCTCGCGGTGGTCGATCGCCTCCCGGGCCGGCGGCTCCGCCAAGAGCAGCTGCCAGCGAGCCCCATCTTCCCGGTCCGCAGCTCTCCGCCGGCCTGGGGTCGGGGTGGGGGGTCGCGCCGGCCTCAGAGGAGTGGGGGTGAGCGGGCGCCAGGCGCGGACGCCGGGGCACCGACTAGGGAGCGGACCCCGCCGCTCGGCGTCCCGTCCGGCCGCGCCTGGGCTTGCTCTGCACCCGCTACTAGGGCGTGCGGCCCCTCGCAGGACCGCGCCGCGCAGGCGCGTAGAGGCCGCAGCGTCTTTTGTCCTCCGGACGCCCCGTAGTGCCGGCTCCCAAGTGACACGTTTCCGAGGGGGCGGGCGGGGGCGGGGCCAGGCTAAGCAGCGACCCTTAAAGGGACCCCGCCTCCGGGCCCGGGAGGCGGCGCCGCTGGAAGCAGCGCGGGGCGTGAGGTCTCGAGCAGGTTCGGGAGGCGAATGAGGGGGTCGGGCGGGCTCGCGAGGGGCCAGGTGGTCCGCAGGGTGCGAGGGAGATTTCGGGTGGCGGGCCGCGTCCGGGGCAGAGTTTAGGAAGGGTGCGCCCGCCCCGCACCTCCCAGTTCCCGCTGCCTGGCTGGGGCGGCCGGGGTTCATTCATTCCCGGCCCGGGGACACCTAGCTCGGTCCTCTCCAGCCGCTGCCCAAATCCCACCTCAAGCACTAGCTCCCCCTTTCCTCCATTACACAGACTGGGGAAACTGAGGAGGTGACAGATTGACGGGCGCCGCGCGGGTCGGGGGCAAGACCGGCCTCGCCAGCCTTCCAGCCTGATCCGGCCTCTCCCGACCACTTTCCCGGGGTGCGCACAGCGCATGAGGCTCTGCCGGTGGGGGTGGGGGTGGGCGGCCTCGGCGTCTGGAGCAGAGTCCGGCGGCAAGGGGGAAGGGCGAACTGCTGGGGCGAGGGGCCGCGCTGTGAGCCGGAGATCCGGATTCTTTGGCTATCACTGTGATCTCAGCGAACTTCTTCCCTCTGACCTTCGGATCCTTCTTGCAAAATGCCAGTAATAACACCTGCCTCATCAGGATGTTGGTGGAATTCAGGACAATAATGCAAAAGTGCTCAGTGTAGAGCCCGATCGCAGCAGCAGGCGCTCAGTCAAGTGGGTGGGAGCTGGATGAGCCCAGAAGGGATCTGGTTGACCTGGAAGAAGGGGCTGCGAGCCAGGCTGCCCCAAATGAAAGGCCTCAGTGTCTGGGGCTTCCTACCCCCTCGGCCCCTTCTGCCCACAGTTTGTTCAGGGCGGAGGTGCACACCTGGCAGTGGAGTCCGCCAAGGCCACGTCTACAACGCCTGGCTCAGTGTGGCCAAGCTGGGCGGGAACTGCAGTTCTCAGCCTGGGCTGACCTGCTGGTTCCTGGCATCAGTAGAGTCTGAGCCACCCTGGCTGCCAGGGGGTGGGGTGGGGTGGGACCTATTCCCTCAGGCTCAGCCAGCCTGGCCAAGAACCCCACCCTGAGGCAATCTGGTGTATTTCCTGCTTCCCTCTAACTGACCCTTGAGGAAGAGGGGAGTCAGGCTGCCAGGAGCAGGCGGTGTTAGTCACTGAGCAGAAGAGCCAGTTCACACCTAGTGATGGCAGAGGGACTGGGAAGGCCTGAGTCTGAGCAAGCAAAACCCTTTCCTGGGCTCCTGGAGCCTGGAGTCCCAATCCTATGGCCATGTTCCCTTCTGCCCAGGACGAACCAGTCTCCACACACCTTGTGGAGCTGCAGTTTCCATCTTCCCAACCACAGGTCGATTTGGACTAGAAAATATAGTGCCTGTGTATCAGGCTTCCCACCTGTCTCTTGTGCCAGTCCTTTAAAGTCACCTCATTTAACCACATATATTTGTACAATTATTAGTTCCGTCTTACAGAGATAGAAACCAAGGCCAAGAGGAGATAAGCTGTCTCCAGGGCCCAAGACCCAAAAGCGACGGTACCCAGACTTGGCCCAGGGCTGACTCTAGAACCACCTGTTAACTGGGACATGGCTGCTGCCTCCCTCCGAGACCAGACTCTGGTTAGAAGGAGGCCCTGAGCAGGCATCCTCAGCAACCTCTGTGATTCTACGTCCTGGGCTAGGTACGATGGCAGAGAAGGTGCTGGTAACAGGCGGGGCTGGCTACATCGGAAGTCACACGGTTTTGGAGCTGCTCGAGGCAGGCTACTCACCCGTGGTCATCGACAACTTCCATAATGCCATCCGTGGTGAGCACAGGGGCCAGCAGGCCAGGCTGGGATTTCTGGAGGGAATGGAGGAGAAACCCTGGATTCCACCTCTGAGGGGTGTATAGCTGGCTAGTTCCCAGGAGATGCAGGATCCCCTCTCCTGTGTTTTGATGGCTTCCATGTGCCCAAGCAGGTAAAGGCGCCATGCCTGAGAGCCTGCGGCGGGTGCAGGAGCTGACAGGACGTTCGGTGGAGTTTGAGGAGATGGACATCTTGGACCAGGCGGCCTTACAGCAGCTCTTCAAGAAGGTGTGTGCTTGGCAGGCAGGTGGCGAGGGTGGGGAGGCTGCTGAGGACCAGGGCCTCCACATTAACCTCTGATCCCCGGCTTTGCCCTTACAGCACAGCTTTATGGCAGTCATCCACTTTGCGGGGCTCAAGGCTGTGGGCGAGTCAGTGCAGAAGCCTCTGGATTATTACAGAGTTAACCTGACAGGGACCATCCAGCTCCTGGAGGTGAGATGTGGGGCAAGCCCGGTGGGCAGTGCCAAACACAGTGGGTAAGAGCTTGAGGACTATCATTTAGGGCTCAGGCTTTAGCATCTTGGAGCAATCTTTGCCTCTCAGTTTCAGTCTCCCCATTGATAAATGGGAGTGTCCATACCTCAGCCCACCCAACTACAGGGGAAGGAGTAAAGGGTGGGAGTAACTTGAAGCAGAGGCCACCCAAGCCTCCCTTTCACGGCCAGGTCATGAAGGCCCATGGGGTGAAGAACCTGGTGTTCAGCAGCTCGGCCACCGTGTACGGGAACCCCCAGTACCTGCCCCTGGATGAGGCCCATCCCACGGGGGGCTGTACCAACCCCTACGGCAAGTCCAAATTCTTCATTGAGGAAATGATCCGGGACCTGTGCCAGGCAGACCAGGTGAGGACCTCCCTTCACCCAGCTTCCTCACTGCCCCAAGACTGAGGATGGGCGCCTGAGCAGCTGCCATGGAGGAAGCTAGGGCTCAGGAGGTGGTGGTGACTCACCCGCCCAGCACTGCCTCTTTCTAGGAAGAGAACAGGCAGGTGGCAGCGGGTGGAGGGCTCGGTTTCAGCTGGGACCTGCAGCCTGCACCTGCCCCCCCACAAACCTAACCGGTGTCCCGCAGGCCTGGAACGCAGTGCTGCTGCGGTATTTCAACCCCACGGGTGCCCATGCCTCGGGCTGCATTGGGGAGGATCCCCAGGGCATCCCCAACAACCTCATGCCCTATGTCTCCCAGGTAAGGGAGGGGAAGGACAGAAAGGGTGGCCCCAGGGTTGAGGGGTACAGTTGGTGCCAAGGGCCTGGGAGGAGCTGACGTGACCTCCACACCAGGTGGCCATCGGCCGACGGGAGGCACTGAATGTCTTTGGCAACGACTATAACACGGAAGATGGCACAGGTGAGCCCAGGACCAGAAGGACCTACAAAGGGGAGACAGGAGGGAGACTGAGGTGGGACAGAGACTGGACTGAACCCCCCACCCAGCCATGTCCTCCTCTGCAGGTGTCCGGGATTATATTCATGTCGTGGATCTGGCCAAGGGCCACATCGCAGCTTTGAAGAAGCTGAAAGAGCAATGTGGCTGCCGGGTAGGGAAGAGGGAAGGAGGGGATAGAGAGGGAGTGCTGGGCAAATGGGGCCTGAGAAGTAGGGAGTCCAGCCCCTTTTTCCTCTTCTGGGCAGATCTACAATCTGGGCACAGGCACAGGCTACTCGGTGCTACAGATGGTCCAGGCCATGGAGAAGGCCTCCGGGAAGAAGGTAGGCTAGCGGGAGGATGGGGTGGGCCGGTAGCCTACCTGATGGGCACCCCACACTGCCCCATCTATTCAGCTGAACTTAATGCCAGATGCCTGCAAGCAAGGGCCTGCCTTGCGCCTCCATTTCTCAAGGGGTGGAGCCAGGAGCCAGGTAGGTAGGCCAGGGCCAGCTCCTCTGAGTTCCAAGGCCCCCTCTCTTACAGATCCCGTATAAGGTAGTGGCGCGAAGAGAAGGCGACGTGGCTGCCTGTTATGCCAACCCCAGCCTGGCACGGGAGGAGCTGGGCTGGACTGCAGCCTTAGGGCTGGACAGGATGTGTGAGTGCTGGCCTGACCCCTGGGAGAGTCAGGAACTAGAAAGGGGCTGATCAGGACTGCGCATGCCTGCCCTGGGCGGCCCTGAGGTAGTGGGGCCCCTGCATTCCAAAATGCACTCTGACCCACACCTGGCTCTGTCACAGGTGAAGATCTATGGCGCTGGCAGAAGCAGAATCCTTCAGGCTTTGGCACACAGGCCTAAGGACTCTCCTGCACCTTGCACCAGAGAAGGAAGAGAGAAACAACTGCTTGCTCTCCAGCCTCTGGCAGGAACACAGGGGCCTCAGCACCTCCCCTACCTCAAACCCCAGCTGGGCCTGCTCAGCCCACCAGGCCTGAGGCCAAGGGCTCCCTGACCAGGAGTGGGGGGTCACTGACTCTTCCCTTCCACAGGGTTCAGGAACCCAGCAGGACGACCAAGAGCGCTTGGGGGAGGCAGGGCCCTGGGATAAGAGCCCCTCCACCAGGGCACTAATTCCTACTGCTGTGACGGAGGTTTCCCCAGTATTTAAAATAAAATGTTTTCTTATGCTGGGGCAGATTTTCACAGATGGCTACTCTCTACCCCTTGGATAGAAGCAGCCAGGCCTAAGAGTTGAAGCAGTTTCTTTAATTTTATCGGAATCCAGGACACAACAAGAAAAACACCCGAAACCACATGGAGACAGAAGACGAGACACAACTCCTCCCCCACGGCCCCCTGGCCCTAGAGCGGGGACACGGTGGGGTGACACGGCGGGGAGAGACCTTGAGCCTCAGTCCAACCCGGCAAGCTCCTGGCCTGCAGGGAAGGAGGGGAATGGGGAGGCAGGGCCCAGCCCCCGTGTCGGGGAAACTGCTGAGGGAAGGCCCCCTTGAAGGACTGCCCCGTCGCCGACACCCCTGCCAGGGGCAGCAGCCCACAGCAGCAAGGGAGCCCGGGCCATGGGCACATTCATGACTGAGAAGCAGCTGGAGTGGAGGCAGGAGAGACGGACGATTATCTGGGCAGAATCAGTTGGGGGTCGGGTGGTGGTAGGCGGGGCCTGGGAGGGCCCCATGGGCCAAACCCTGAGGTCACAGGAGGGGGCCCAAAGCGGGGCTAGTGAGTGAGGTCCTGAGTGAGTGGGTCAGCGGCTGGGCCCCTTCTCCCGCTGCCTACAGCCCCTCCAATACTGCTGCGGGGCCCGCCTCCAGGGAATGGGGTAAGAAAGCAGCCCACCACCTGCTGCTGCGGAGAGCCAGGTGGCTGAGGAAGACCTGGCCAGGCCCGCCTGCCCCAGAGGCCTGTGGGAAGAGAATGGGTTGGGAAGGGTGGGGACAGGGGCTCAACCGGCTCAGATCCAAGATGGTGCCACGCTTGCTGGGTCCCCCCGTGAGCTGGGGGACTGTGCTGGGGATCAGCGATGCTGGTTAGACAGGAGGCAGCAGCTTCTCGATAAACTCCTTCACAGCTGCCATCTCCTGGGGGCGAAGGGGATGATGATGAGCGCCTCCTGGCTGGAGGAAGGAGGGAGAAGGGTGGGAGTAGGAAGTGGGCCCCACCACTGACCTGAGGACAGCAGGTGTGCATGACACCTGGGTAAGTCTTGAACTGGACCCTGGAGGGTGTGACAACCGACCGGAGCTTCTCAGCTGTCAGGGCCCCAAACCGTACGGGAACCATGGGGTCCATCTCCCCATGGCACTGAAGAATGGCCAGGTCCTTGGCACTGCCATTAGCTGCCTGTGGGCCAGACACGACTCAGAGGACAAAGCCAGCACTCTGGCACAATCCCCAGGCCACAAGTAGATCACAATGGGAGGGGGTCTCGTCTCGGAAACACTCACCTGGGGGAAGGCCTGGTGCAGAGGCAGCCAGCAGCTCAAAGCCACAATGCCAGCCAGAGGGTGGGGGCAGGTGAGGGCGGTGTAGAGGGACAGGGCCCCGCCCTGGAGGGAGGAGAGAATGAGAGGTCATGAGGGCACAGCTTGCCCACCTGCCACCCACCACCCTCTCTCTCCCCTCACCTGTGAAAAGCCTCCCAGGACGATTCGATTGGCAGGGATCCCATTCTTCATCTCGTGCTCAATCAAGGCCTTGACTGGGGGGAGGGGGAACACCTGGGTGGGGGAAGCTGCCAGAGGGGCCCAGGGAAGGGAGCCAGACAGAGGTCCTGCCCAAAGCTTTTGTGGGGGGGCGGGGGGGAGGAAGAGAGGTGGGTGCTGGAGAGGGTAGGGACTTACTGTTCTCTGCTGCCTTCTTGATGCCAGCCTCGTCCTCTGGGGCATCTGGACTCAGTCCCATCAGGTCAAACCTGGGGGAGCAGAGGCAATGGCAGTTACTGGCAGAGCCCCATCAGCCCCGTGCAGCTTCCTCCACTCCCATCCCTGCTCCCCAAACTCACCAGGAAGGCATGACCATCTTCATATTGAGTGTCACGGGGATCCGAGGCCTGCGGAGAGAATCACACTCGAGAGGGATGAAGAAGCCACACCTCAGAGCACACGGGCCAGGGGTAGAGCAGCCCCTGGGGGCCCCTCCCAGCAGGCAGGGCCTGTGTTTCAGGTGTTGCCAGGCAACCTGCCACGTGGGGCTGGAGCCTGCGTTTGGGGCAGCAGCAGGAGCAATGGAGAAGCAGAGCTACACTCGGGGTTCCTGCTCAGTCGGTGAGTACTTGGCGGGGGGGGGCGGGGGGGCACTGGTGGTCCTGCTTCTAGGGGGCCTCAGGTCTAGGAGGCCTGGGGCTGGGTGCTGGGCCCCATTCCTGGGGGTCCACAGAAGTGAAAGCCACAAGGGCACTCCCGACTGCCCTGGGCCCAAGCCCCAAGACGCAGCTGGCAGGAGCACACAGGCTTGCGACCACAGGCGTCCCCACCCCCAGACTCAGCCCCCCCCTTGCTCGGGTGACACTTACGCATGGGGACAGATGTACTTGACGTGAGGAAGCCGGATGGAGGAGAGGGCGTCAGCCCAGCTGTGCCTGTAGGAGGGAAGGGAGAAAGGCACTGATACGGGGAGGGGGGAAGGGAGGGCAGGGGCCGACGCCGCCCTGGCACTAGGCACTTGCCCCCTCCCAGACAGCTGCCCCTTCCCAGCCCACTCACCCTGTGTCACCAAGTCCATGTAAAAAAATAACCTGGAACAGAATCAGAGAGGGGGAGACAGGAAAGAGGGCAATCACCAGCCTGCCCCGTCCACTTCTGTCCTCTGACTTGGGGCACCCTGAACCCCTCCCCGTGTAGCACCGTAACAGGTTCCTGGCTTCAGGCTGCTCCCTCCTCACCACTGCCACCTCCCCTCCCCTCCCCCCTTCCCCAGCCGGCCAGGGGGCTGCCATGGGGCCCTTACCGCAGCCGTTTCCCGCTCAGCTCCAGACACAGTGGCAGCATCCGTGAGCAGGGGCACAGACATGGTGTTACCACACATACACTGCAGGCCTCCAAGGCTGGGGCCTGTCAATCAGGGAGCAGTCAGGATCAAGGCCAGGCAGGAGCAAGACTCAACACAGAGGCATAGCCTCAAACCCATGGCCCACCCAGTCATCAGCCCCCACAGCATGCCAGCTTCTGTCCTGCGCCCAAAGGAAAGTCAGACAAGGCCAGAGCCAGAGGGAGAGGAAGCTGAGAGGCAGGGCAGCCCCCTGCAGCCCTGGCTTGGGCGCTCCACACCCCCTGAGCTCGCTGGAGAAAGGCAGAGGCAGGACTCAGGGACCCTGGTGGGGGGAGCTGGAAGGTCCCCCAATGCCTTCCCACCAACTGACACTACCTGCCTCCTCCCTGGTCTCCAATGCCCCCTTCTCTAGAGCTCTGGGTTCCCTCCTCCCAAGCCCACAGGCAGATGATGGAGAGAAAACCGCCAGGGAAGTTTGCTTCCAGCCCCCCAGCTCCCCCCACATACCTTTTCTCCAACCTCCCTGCCATCCAGCCCCATCAGCCTTCAGGTAGTTTTTGGCTCCCCCGTCCCAGCCCGCCTGGAGGTTGCCCATGGCCCGGAAGGCACAGGGGCTTCCACTCACCACCCACACCCCCCTGCCACAGCCCACTAACTCCAAATGGGCCCCCCAGCTAGACCACATTCTGGGACTCCAAGCACAAAAGAATGTCAGGCCGGCTGGCTCCTCCCCAGCCGAGCATCCTCCCAACTCTCCCGGCTCTTCCCCCCTCCCGTCTCCCAAGTGCCTACCCTCCCACCCCTCCAGCTGGCTCCCACCTTCCCCCGACACCCCTCCACGCGGGATCCCTCACCTCTGACCCTGGGCTCCCTCTTCCCAAGGCGAAGGCCCCTTTGGCCCTAAGCTGGGACTCCCTACCTTCTCACCGTGGGACTCGGACCTCTCGCCCCCATCCCCGCTCTCACAGCGGTCCCCTCCCCACTGACTTGGGCTCTCACCCCCCACGGTAAAAAACTTCTACGTCGATCCTGGGCTCCCACGGGATCCCACCATGGGAACTTCTGTTCCGACCAAGGGTCGCCCCCTCCCCATAGAAGCATCTAGAGGGACCCACGACCTGCTCTAGCCACAAAGGGGTATTCTGCCTTGGACCCCGGGGGCGCCCGCCCCTCCAAGGGAGCTTCCACCTCCGAGCCTGGAGCCCCTGTCATCCCACCCGGAGCCTCCCTGCTCTGCCCCCCAAGTCCTCAAGACCAGCCAGTGCCTCTTCGCACCTCACTCCCCACCCCCATCCCTCACAGCCGCTCCCCTCCCCAGCGCCAGCACCGCCGCAGTGGTCGCCCCGGCGCCCTCCCGCTGCCCTCCTGCCCTCCGCCCGCCCGGCTACCTCCACTCCCTAGGGCTTTAGACCTCTCGGCGAGTTCCTCTTTCTCCCGCACAGACACACACTCTTCCCTCTGCGCCGCCCCCGCCGGAACTTCCGCCCGAGTCCCGGGAACCCAGCCATCGTGCTGCCGGAAGTAGCCTGGCCAGCGGTACGGCACCCGGAAGTGGGCGTCGGGGCTTCGCCAGATAGGGGCTGCCATGTTGGATCCGCGGGGCCCCTCCCCACGAGTAAGCCAGGGAGTCGCCTGCACAATCAGGGCGGTGCATCCCAGAGACGCCCACCCGCTGCCACCACCCTCTCACGTCCTAGACGAAACTCTCCGGAAGGAAGAGCTTCCCTCACCCTCCCCTTCCCACCTTCCCGGGCCCATGATGGCACTTCATGATGGCCTTGGGGATGGGGCCCACCACTGCATGGCGGACTGGGTCATACACGCTGAGACGCCCCTTAGAGACCATCTGGCCCGCCAGTCTTATTTTCAAGATGAGGAGCTGAGTTTTCAGGGAGAGGAAGTAAATAAACAGCAATCTCAAGATTACACTGCCTCAAGATAATGCTGCCTTTCTGCGCCTGCTTCCTGAGCTGTAAAATGGTGATAATAACCACCCAGCCTACTTCAAGCTTTGCCCAAACGAGGTCGAATGGAAATGCTTTATACATTGTAAAATCAGTGTGAGGCCTTGATGACTCAAAAATCGACCCTGGAAAAAAAACACAGGCCATACCAGGACAGCCAGGCAGGCGTGGACGGTGTTGTCTTAGCGCTGCTCTGGACAAGCCATGCCATGCAGACAATGTGCAAAATATCATCATCGATAGCTCCTTGTTAAGAACAAGAAGGGCTTCATTTGGTCAGTCTTTGGCCCTTGCTTGCACTGGTAAAGTGCAAACAGGGCTCAGGATCCACAGAAAGGCTGGAAAGGGAGGCAAATTGAGTTGGAGGACCATGCCCTGCGAAAATGTGTGCATCTTGAACAGGAAATGAAGTATGCTCATCCCTCATCTTAGGACTCATTCTTCCAGCTTAAACTGCACGTTTCCCCTTGAACTAGAAACAGTGAACTTGGAAGCTCTACAAAACACTTTTCCCCAGATCAAGAAGTAGTTTACTCTTAAGTGCTCAAGGGATCACAGTGACAGGACCTAAAACCCAGGATTCTGAGCAGGAAAACTGGGTGCAGGAGATCACAGCAAGCCAAAGTCCCCAGACTAAGTATCAGAAGAAACTGGGGACGAGTGGACAAAGACTACACAGCTGCACCCCACTCCCAACAGAATGAACAACTCCTCCTGCACCATCAATCTCTGAGACACTGTGGGTTTGTTAGGGGGAAGGGGTTGCTCTACAACAGGT